CCGTTGCTGTGATAAAGGATGAACCAAAAACATCTTGGGAAGAAAGAGTATTTCAAACCTTAGAGTTCACAGTCCATCATGGAAGGAAGTCAGGTGGGAACTCAGGGCAGGGACCTGGAGACAGGAGCTGAAGCACAGACCATGAGGAGTGCTGCTTACTGGCTTCTCCTCTAGCCTGTGCTTAGGCTGCTTGCTATCTTTAAAAAAATTTTTTTAATTTATTATTTTTATTTTATGTGTATGAGTTTATTACCTATATGTGTATAAGTGCACCCATGTTGTACAAAGCCTGTGGAAACCAGAAGAGGATGTAGGATCTCCTGGAATGAAAGTTACAGACAGTTGTTAGCTGCCATGTGGATGCTGGGAATCGAACCCAGGTCCTCTGGAAGAACAGAAAGTATTCTTAACCACTGAGCCATCTCTCCAGCCCTCCTCCTTAAAAAAGTTTTTTTTGGCTGGGCATGGTGGCACATGCCTTTAATCCCAGTACTTGGGAGGCAGAGGCAGGCGGATCTCTGTGAGTTCGAGGCCAGCCTGTCTACATAGTGAGTTCCAGGTCAGCTGGGGCTACAGGGAGACCCTGTCTCAAAAAGGCCAAAAAAAATTTTTTTTTGACTTACTAATTTATATTTTATGTGTATGAGTATTGCCTGCATTGTATGTAAGTGCACCTGTGTTGTGCAATGCCAGTGAAGGCATCTGGAGTCGCAGATGGTTGTTAGCTGCTACGTGGGTACTGGGAACTGAACCCAGGTCCTCTGCAAGAGCAGCCAGTGCTCTTAACTGCTGAGCTATCTCTCCAGTCCTCAGCCTGCTTTCTTATACAACCCCACCCAGGCCTACCTGCCCAGGAGTGGCACCCCCCACAATTGGCTGAGAAAATATCTTACGGGTCTTGATTGAGGTTCCTTCTTCCAGGCGTGTCAAGTTGACAGCTGAAGCTCTCTACACCTCCATTATCCTTTTTTTGTCCCCCTCCCATTTTACCTGATCCCCTTCTTCCCAGTTAGCCCCCTTCTACTTTCATGTCCGTGTGTGTGTGTGTGTGTGTGTGTGTGTGTGTGTGTGTATTTCATTAGGGACACTTAAAGGATCATGGTTGAGGGTCTTCTGCAAGAACAGTCAGTGCTCTTAACTGCTCATTCATCTCTCAAGTCCCCTTGTTTGTTTTTTGAGTCAGGGTCTCTAGCCCCAGTTGGCCCAGAACTTACTGTGTAGACCAGGCCGGCCTCAATCTCACAAAGAACTGCCTGCCTCTACCTCCTGAGTGCTGGGATTAAAGGCATGTGCCACCATGTCAAGTTCCCACCATGGACTTCTGACTTAGTTTACAGAAGTACCAGATGAAAATTCCTTCTTACGGTGCAGACTTCAAATCTGCTTTGGTGATCTGTTTCAGTACACATAGCAAGTGTTCTCAGGCTTTTATGGTTCTTTGCAAGAAACTTTAGGGTTAGGCTAAATTTTCTTTGTATGTGTATATGTGTATGGTTATATGTTTGTATGGGTGTATGCTGCAACACATGCATGGGGGTACATGTGCATTTGTATGCATATGTATGTGGAAGCTAGAAGTCCACATTGGCTGTCTTCTTTGATCACTCTCCATCTTATTTTTTGAGATAGGGTCTCTCACTGAACCTGGAACTTGTTGACTCAGCTAGATGTCTGGTCACTGAGCTCCAGGAATCCTGTCTCTGACCCTGCTTCCCTGTGCTGGGATTTTCATTTTATCCTTAGAACACCACAGTTACTGAGGAATAAGATGTGCAAATTGTTGAGCACCGTCCAGCTTCTCAAACTTTGGGATGAGATTGGGCATCGCCATCCTTCTGTTCTGTTCTGCATTCTGACTGGTTTGCACTTTGTACCATTTTTAGTGCGAGGATGGAGAAATTATTGATCATACTTTTGAAAGTCTACATCCAGATTCAAATGGATTTATCTGAGAAACCTCCTGAATAAAATTGCATTGGATGAAGTATCTTGTAATTTACTAGATTCATATATGTAAGGGAGGGAAAATGAGTCCCCAAGTGAATACCCAGACTGAAAATCATCCCACTTTGACTGTGGGACAGATAGCCCATCACTTCTGGCTGCTGCTGCTGGGCTGCTACTGATCTGGATTATTTGGAGTCCTTTGACAAGGTTGTTGACTGGCAGGTTTAGCTTGCTCAGGCTGTTAGCCCCTCCTGAAGTGTTTAGCTGTGCCTCTTCTGTTGTCCACTCAGATGGTGGTCTGCTGGAGTTTCTCTCCTCATCTGGTCTTCCTTTCTTTCCTCTTCCCTTCTCCCTTTCCTATCCCTCTGCCCTCCTGTTTTCCTTCCCATTTCTCTTCCTGTAGCCAGCCGCAGTATGGACCTACTCTCTTACTTGTAAATTTGAAGGACTCCCAAAGAGAACAAACATGGAAATTAAACAATCTCAGTTTGGTAATCCACTGATAGAATTTAGAAATTGGGGCTAGTGAGATGGCTCAGCAGGTAAAGGTGCTTGCTGCCACATTTGAGGACCCGATTTTGATCCCCCAAACCAGCATGGTGGAAAGAGAGAACCAACTCCTACAAGTTGCCCTCTGACTACCATATGCAACCCGCCCCCCCTTATACAAATAAATAAATATGCTATTAAAATTTAAAGACAAACTCAGTCAGACAAAAACCCAGCATAGAACTGGGAAAATGGGCAGTAGGCCCCAATCTTAGCCAAACTATTGGCAGCTGATTACTGCTGGGTGAGGGAGAGTGATCTTCTTTAAGGGAGTGACTATAGATAGACCGACTAGACCCCAGTAGATGAACTTGCACTGAAGGACATGTGGGGACACTAACTTGACTTGCTGGGCCTTAACAAATGTAACAGAAGTCTGGTGGGGGCACTACAGAGGGGTATGGATGGGGGAGTGGTACAAAGATGACTAAGATGTTTTGTAGGAGGGACTGGAGAGAGGGCTCAGAGGTTAAGAGGACCTGCATTTGATTCCTAGCACCCACATGGAGGCTAACAACCATTCATAATTCCAGTTCCAGGGGAATTTGACGTCCTCTTCTGACCTCCACAGGCACTGCACGACATGAATACACTTAACATACATGTAGGCAATACACTCATACAAACACAAAAATAATAAATAAAATATTTTTTAAAAAGATGTTTTGGACCAGGCATGGTGGCGCACGCCTGTAGTCCCAGCACTTGGGAGGCCGAGGCAGGTGGATCTCTGTGAGTTCAAGGCCAGTCTGGTCTACATAGTGAGTTCCAGGCCAGTTGGGGCTACAGGGGGACCCTGTCTCAAAAAGAAAAAAAAAAAAAGATGTTTTGGGCTGGGCATGGTGGCGCACGCCTGTAGTCCCAGCACTTGGGAGGCAGAGGCAGGCAGAGCTCTGTGAGTTCAAGGCCAGCCTGGTCTACAAAGTGAGTTCCAGGACAGCTGGGGCTACAGAGAGACCCTGTCTCAAAAAGATCAAAATAAGTAGTAAATAAATAAATAAATAAACAAACTCTTCCTTAAAAAAAAAGATATTTTGTATGAAATGCACAAAAGTTCAATAAAAACATTAAAAATTTTAAAAAGAAATTGATGGTTAAGTACTAGACCATTTCAGAGAAAAATAGCATGTCTTCTGTAAGTACACTATGTTTGACAGTATAGTTTCCCGTATGGTTTTTTTTTTTTTTTCGTCTTTTTGAAGCAGGGTCTCCCTGTAGCCCCAGCTGTCCTGGAACTCACTATATAGACCAGGCTGACCTTGAACTCACAGAGATCCGCCTGCCTCTGCCTCCCAAGTACTGGGACTACAGGCGTGTGCCACCACGCCCTGCTTCGTATGTTATTTGAAAGTTTTATTTTGTTTTGTTTTTGTTTTTTGGTCTTTTTGAGACAGGGTCTCCCTATAAGCCCCAGCTGGCCTGGAACTTGCTATAAAATTTTATTATATTATTTTATCTTCATTTAATATTTTTTTGGTCTTTTTTTTTTTTTGGTGTTTTTGAGACAGGGTCTCCCTGTAGTCCCAGCTGTCCTGGAACTCACTTTGTAGACCAGGCTGGCCTTGAACTCACAAAGATCTGCCTGACTCTGCTTCCCAAGTGCCGGGATTAAAGGCGTGCACTATTACGCCCGGCGCTTTTTTTTGGTCTTTTTAAAAATATTTATTATTTTTATTTTATATGTATTTGAGTGCACCCATGTTGTGCAATGCCGTGGAGGTCAGAAGAGGGCTTTGGATTCCCTTGGAACTGGAATTAAGGATGGTTCGTAGCTGCCATGTGGGTGTTGGGACTCGAATCCAGGTCCCCTGCAAGAGCAGTTGGTGCTCTTAACTGCTGAGCCATCTCTCTAGCCTCTTTTTTTGGTCTTTTTGAGACAGGATCTCCCTGTAGCCCCAGTTGTCCTGGAACTCACTATGTAGACCAGGCTGGCCTTGAACTCCCAGAGCTCCGCCTGCCTCTGCCTCCAGAGTACTGGGCTTAAAGGCGAGCTCCACGATGCCTGGCAAAAAATTTTATTTTTAAATTTTATTGTATATTGCTTGCACGTATATAAGGGCACCTGCATAATGCCCTCGGAGGTCAGAAAAGGGTGTTGGATTCCCTGGAACTGAAATTATCGATGTTTTTTAGCCACAATGTGGGTGCTGGGAACCGAAACCTGGGTCTTCTGCCAGAGCAGCTAGTACTTTTAATTGTTGAGTCATCTCCTAGCCCCTGTTATTTTAATTTTTAAACAGCCCTGTAAGGCAGATATTACCATCCCAATTTTGTAGTGGAAAGGTAAGGAAGGACAGCTATTATTTTTTAAGTTTTAATCTTGGGGGACTTGCTTAAGATTATGCAGCTAGTAAGAAGTAGAGAATAGAATTGACCCTTGGTCATTTAGTGACCTTCATTAGATGTAGTGCATATGCTAGACACAGGCTGACTAAGTGAAGCTTGGACTTCTAGAAGCTGTTTTGTGCTATAACTAACCTGAATATTTCTTTTAACTTTTCCAGCATCTGCTACAAGCCTTAGTGAATCTGACAGTGAGACTGAGGGGAAGCAGACCTGCTCTGACACTTTCAAAGATGCCTTCAAAGCAGACTCCCTCGTGGAGGGTACCTCTTCTCGCTACTCCATGTATAATAGTGTCTCCCAGAAACTTATGGTATGTCATTGCTTAGAATGATTTCTTTCTTTTTTTGTCTTTTTGAGTAGGGTCTCCCTGTAGCCCCAGCTGTCCGGGAACTCACTCTGTAGACCAGGCTGGCCTTGAACTCACAGAGATCCGCCTGCCTCTACCTTCCAAGTCCTGGGACTACAGGCATGCGCCACCATGCCTGGCGCTTAGAATCATTTCTAAGGCTGCCTTAGCAGAGTGAGAGAAAGAAAGGAGGTTTGCATTGGTATGAGGTGGGAGGGGCTACTCTATGGACATTCTTCTCTGCTTTCTGGCTACTGAGGTTTAGTGGAGAAAGTATGGTCTCCTCCTAGTAGAAGCGTCTGTCACATCGGAATCTTCCATTGGAAGTACTTCTTCTGTCCAGAGCCAGACTACTGTTTGGTATTCCTAATGACTCTGTATTATAAGCATGTATGAATCTACTTCCCTGACATGCGTGTGTGTCAGTGGTTGAAAAGGCTTCATGATGTTTTTGTTCTTGTGAATAATCTCAAAAGAAATGACTGAACACCTCTTGACCCCTAGGAGTCTAAAATAAGGACAAGTAGCATAGTCTCCTTTTGTAGGAGGCCCAGATATCTCAGCTCTCACACCCACTCATCTGTCACAGGAAGTAAGATGAAAAAGGATGCCTATTTACTCTCCTTATTAAAATTTAGATGTGCAAAGTTTAGAGAAGTTCAAATTTGCTTTCAGTCTAGTGTCAGGAATATCATAGTTGACACCTGCTTTTTGTTGATTAGTTTAAGAATGAAAACTGCTGTTGCTGAAGTTGTAGGTCAGGATTCTAGTTTGGAGCCCACAAGCTTTGGGGAAGTAGAAGATGGGGAAGTTTGTGACTTAGCCTTTTTGACCTGGGCTACTGTTTAGAGCCCACTAAGCTCTTAAACTGATACTGCTGCTTTCAAAGAGAATTTAGACCCTCCAGGAGGAATTAGATCTCTTCAGGACTATAGTTCTTCAGTTACGTAAGAGTTTGGGGGGTTTGGGATTTTGGCTCTGATCTTTGAGGTCTGTACTCAGGCCTAGTAACTCTGGAGTTTAGTGTGAGCTTATGACAGTTATGACATTTTTAAATCGTGGTCCTGGACCTAGTTCAGTTTTACTTGAAGCAAACTTCAGTTAATTTACTAACTAGATAGGTTCCTCCATGCCTCATTGTCTTTGCCTAGTAAGGCCATGTGATGGGCAAGGGGGTAAGTAGAAATTACTGCTTAAAGTTGCTGTGTTCTAAATTACGTTCTCTTTATCAACTCTACTCTGGATCTACTTTTTACTTAATCAGACAAATTAGCTGGAAGGGGAAGTTGTGCAAATGTCCAGTGAGATTCATTAAATACACTTTTGATTACAGCTCTGTAGTCCTTTCTCATTTATCCAACTTCTGGTTGCCCTAGACTTTCACCTGCAGAATAGATAGTTAACAGCCCACAGAGTTACTTATGCTTCTTTTTGTTAGGCTAGAAGGTAAACTTTAGACCTCAGTGTGTTTTTCAAGGTTTATCACAATGTATGGCCTGTGATAGGGACTAAATAAATAGCTGTTACACTGAATTAATTGTGTTTTGTTCTTTTTTCAGGCCAAGATGGGCTTTAGGGAAGGTGAAGGATTGGGTAAATACAGCCAGGGTCGGAAGGACATCCTTGAAGCCTCCAATCAGAAAGGTCGACGTGGCTTGGGTCTGACACTGCAGGGCTTTGATCAGGAGCTGAACATCAATTGGCGGGATGAGCCGGAGGTAACTGGTGAGGGGAGGAGAAAACAGGAAGGCCATTGGAACGGGTGGCTCTTTGAAACTGTGTTAACAAATTAGAACTCTTAAGAGGCAATTTGAACAGAGTGATTAGAGGCTCAGAACTAGCATCTTATATGAAGGTTCTGGGAAGGTCCAGAATGAAAAGAAGACTTGGAGGAGTATGCTGTGATGTCAGTTTGTTTTTGTTGCTTTCTAGGACTAAGACTGGTAGGTAAAATATGTTAGAAGGCAGACTTTGGCTCCACAAAGAACTTTAATAACTAGGTACAGCTTTCTCCTAGTGGAATGTTAAACTTCTCAAGCTAGTTAGCTCTTTGCTAGAAGACTTCAAGCAGGACAAGTGAGTACCTACTGACCCATTGAATGAGGGACGGGATTAGGAGTCTTGGGGGTTGTCCGTCCATCTCCACAGGGTTTTGCCATGCAGATTCCAAACAAGGGATTGTTTATATACAGCTTTCCTACTGTGTGGACTCAGTTGTTTTATTGCTTGATTGTGTTTGTTTTAAGACAGAGGTTCTTTTTTTGGTGAGGCTGAGAATCTAACCCCAGACCTCACACATACCAGGCAAGCTCTTTACCCCTAAGCTTATAATAGCTCTAGGCCAAAAAGAGATTTTTTAAAATTCCTTTTAATGGCATAGATAATGTTGAGATCTTAATTCCTACCTTTTTCCTCAAAGGATTTGAATGAAGTATATACAATAAAAACCTAAAATAAAATAAAAGCACTAAAAATAACAGTGAGATATTACTAATAGAGAGTCGATATTGGGGAAAGTAGAGCACAGATGGTTGACCTTCTGTCAGTTGCTGTAGTTAAGCTTCACATGTGGCTCTTAAAGCTGGGAGCCTGCTAAAGTGTTTTTCTCGCTGACATTTCAAGGAAAGGACATCATTGAATTCATGTATGACAGCCTCATGAGGCTGCAGAGTTGGATTCTGACAGGCTCTGACCTCACAGGTTCTGGGGTGGGCTTGCCGTTCTGCTTTGTCACTGTGAGGAACAAAGACCAGCAGCTTGGCAGAGACCATGAAGATGAGAAGAAAGCTTAAAGTTGTTGCTAGATGTAGGCTTTTGCCTTAGAAACACCGAGTGTTTTCCTTGTTTGTGTAGATACAAGTACATAGAGTTCCTAATAGGGTAGGATTTGAGTATCCTTCATTAAACTTGAAACTTGAAAGTTGCCTATAAAAATCTCTTCTTGGGGCTGGAGAAATGGCTCAGTGGTTAAGAACACTGGCTGTTCTTGCAGAAGACCCAGGTTTGAATCCCAGCACCCACATGACAGCTAACAACTGTCTGTAACTCCAGTTCTAGGGGATCCAATGCCCTCTTCTGACCTCTGTGGGCATTGCATGACATGGGTGTACTTCCACACATGCAGGCAATACACGCATGCACATAAAATATTAAAAAAGAAATCTCTGTTCTTAATGGAGATAGGCTATTGGAATCCTTTTTTTGGATGAAGCTATTGTAGTTACCATTCACCATAATTCAGTTTTTCTATGACCAAGGATGCCTTCATTAAGGAAGGAAGAGTTTAGCTGCACTGTGAGTTGAAAGCCACTTCTTTAAGGAAGATGAGGTTGGGTGGGTCACTGTAGGGAAAGTTTTGCTCAGTGGCTCCAAGAGTATAGAGTTTAAGGTTTGACACCTCAGGTAAATCCATTCTGCAGGTAGCCTTAATGTACAGGCTTCCATGGGGAGAGTGATTCTGCTTTTACTCAACAAAGGATCATCCAAGGTATATGTGAACTTCTTGCTTTGCACAGTTTATAGTTGACATTTGTGCTTAAACATAAGGATTTGAACAGGAGAAGAAACCATGACTCACTTCCAGATTCATGGACAAGGCTTCGGTGATTTTTCTTTTCAACTTTTTCTCTCTCGATCATGGTTGGCTTGCCATCGAGGCCTTGCATTGTGATACCATTTTATGCCTTTCAGAGTATGTAATATTACCTTTAATGACATTGCTTCAGTTTGCAATGGTGAATCTCTTCTCCACAGTTTCTTGGAAGGTAATCCTTGAAGCTGCCATGCCAGGTTAGCCACCTGATTAGGTTTTGTAATCCATGTTTGTCTAGCCCAATGGTACATGGTCCTGGATCACTGTACAGTCATCTGGAGACTTAAAAATATACATTCAGCCGAGCATGGTGGCACACGCCTTTAGTCCCAGCACTTGGGAGGCAGAGGCAGGCGGATCTCTGTGAGTTCCAGGCCAGCCTGGTCTATATAGTGAGTTCCAGGCCAGCTGGGGCGACAGGGAGACTCTGTCTCAAAAAGACCAAAAAATATATATATACATTCAGTTCCCACCTCAGACCAGTCCCAAACTATGTGCTCATGAGGCATGGCCCAGACATCAGTCTTTAGAAGCCCCGCAGTGGTCCTAGTGCACAGCCAGTGTGAGAACCCTTCTCCCTTCTCTTCGGGAGAGTCCTTGAAAAATTAAGAGGAAGCAGCCATTAGGAATGATTTTCTGCCACATTCTGGATCAGACAAACACTTTGAAAGGCATCAGTTGGGGACACTCTTTGCCATTAAATTTTAAGTCTTCAGAGAATTACACTGCATGCGATAGCTGTCTGATTAATCATTTTTCTGTCCTCGTTGCGCTTATAAACTCCTTTGGTCAAAGACTTGTCTTATTTACTTCTGCATTTTGAGCACTTACATGTAGGTATTTGTCAAATAATATTGGAACAAATGAAAGAAACCTTGAAGATTTAGAAATTTTCTAAAGGACTCAAAGCAAAATTGGAGCTGTCCTTTAGGAAGTTAGACTTCATAGTTCTGGTTTTCATTTCCCAGGTCTGACTGCTTCATTTGGTGTCAGCAATTAGGGCTCTTCTCAGCCTAAGTCACTATGAATTATTTTGGGGAAACCCTGGTGCCTGGGCAGAGCTCCTCTCACCTGACTTACTTGCCTTTCTTTTGTTTGTAGCCCAGTGCCTGTGAGCAGGTGTCATGGTTCCCAGAATGTACTACTGAAATTCCTGACACCCAGGAAATGAGTGATTGGATGGTTGTGGGAAAGGTATGATGTCATGAAAATATACTTGGATTTCTTTGCATTTTTCTGACTAGTCAGTCTCCTTGAATCTGATGTTATATGTATTGTAGTTTTAGAAAAAATGTGAAACTGACCATTCTGGTAGGAATAAAAGCTGTGTCACAAGAGTGTGTTAAAGGATTTACAGATTTGCCCCGGGAGATGTAGCAGACAAATTTTTCCTCTCAGCCATGTAACTCACATGGTAGAGAAAGTGCCTAATCTCTGCCTTTCCTATGGATATCTTTTGGAGTAGCGTATTATGTATCAGTGTATATTCTGGTCCCTGCCAGGCATTGTTGCAAGTAGATGAAGAGACATCCTCAGAAAGTAATGAGGGAATTATTGTGGAGGGAATTCGTTTAATCTTGTGGAAAATCATAGAAATAAAGCAAATGGAAGACCACATCAGTATGGTCTTCAGAAGTAAGGGCTTTTTCAGGGGCTTCACAAGGTGCATACCGTGGCATGCATGTACCTGTGTACAGGCTTACATACCCCAAGAAAAAAAGAAAATTGAAAAAAACCTAGAGACCACAAATTTTGGGTTGTTTTAATCACACTTGAGTGGGGGCTGGGACTCACATCCTATGAGGCCTTACTTGGGCCCTTGTTTTCTCTAAAATTACCTAATCAGTGCCTACTCTTAAGCATTTCTACTCATAAAGAGCGAGAGGCTTCCTGGACAAAGGACAGGCTTACCTCTGGTGGGCACTCCCAGTCCTGCTATTGCTCTGCTCTGGGGCAGACAGCTTACATGGCTCCTTCCTGTTTGCTTTTCTCAGCCTCAGCTTTTGGGTTGTTTTATCCATATGGTGCTCTACCCAGAGCTCCCCAGAGACTGCTTCATCTCACAGCCATCTGGAACAGAGCCAGAGGGATTTGGGACTGTCTTTCTCACCCCTCAGGGATTGATGTTTCTTGGCAAGAACTTAAGCCCCTTCTTGCTCTGCTCACTCAGAACCCTCATTTTTCCATTCACCCCTGATATGTAGTCCCACTTGATCATTATTTATTGTTTTATTCTCCCTGTAGAGAAAGATGGTTATTGAAGATGAAACAGAGTTTTGTGATGAAGAGCTGCTTCACAGTGTGCTGCAATGTAAGGTAAGGCTGTGAAGGAGCCAGGCATGAATCCTGTGGTGAGGTGGTTGGGCTTTTCTGGTTCTCTTTGGGAGTGGGGGAGGGTTATACTGTTTTTTTTTTACTGTTTTTTTTTTTTTTTTCCCCTGGAGATGAGAAGTGTAACCTGCATGATACATACAGGATATTTTTTCCTGGTAACTGTCTGACCTTGACTGTTATATTGTCCAGGTGGCCAGTAATCAGCAAAGAATTCATTTAACCTCAGTGTGTCAGGTCATTGTGATTCCCAAGGGGCCTGGGGGTAGTAAAAGGTTTGAAATCATTCTTTTACATCAAACAGGTCAGGTTCAAACCCCATTTCTACATTTTTGCTGTATGACCTTGGGAAGTTGTTTGGGTGCCTCTGAGTTTGTCTCCTTTATAAAACTGGAGAAAATACCTGTCTGGGTGATGGTGTTAAATGGAATAGGGGGAGTGCAGTGCTTGGGAAATGTTAGCCTCCTCTAGTGTCTTTTGGCCCGATTGCAGGTCAGGAAGCACACACTGAATGAGCCAGGGAAGCTCTGAGGAGGAGATGGGTTGGAGAAGAATCAAGGTTTTGTGTTCACCTCAAAAGGCTCTTTTTTTGGCAGGCAGAGGGGTTGGGACTACATAAGGTGACCAAATCTCAGGTATAGTGAGGATCTCTGTTTCCAGAGAAGTTGGAGAGAGGGTGAGAGGACAGGAGAGCTCTCTGCTGTGTGTGGTAGTTGCCTTTTGAAAGCCCTGGGCTTGGTTTGTTTCCTTCTCTAGAGCTTAGAGCCAGTTAAGGGAGTCTGAGAAATCTACTGAAAGGTGGTGGTGGTACAGGGAAACAACTTGCCATGAGGATTAGCAGTGTGAAGAGTTGGTGTTTTGTGTAGCAGGGGATGCTTTTAGCTATTTAACCATACTCCAGGCACCTACTTCATTAGGAATTTTACTACTTCAGAGGTGAGGTGGTAGAGAATCAAAGTGATTAAGCAACTTGTCAGGGTCACACAGCTGGTTGTTTGAGAGCTGAGACAAGACCCCTATTATACCCCAGAGTGACTGGGTGTTGCTTACTAGAGATTCTCCTTCTCTTTGGGCAGAGTATGTTTGACATCCTGAATGGGGAGGAGATGAGACGAGCTCGGACCCGAGCCAATCCGTACGAGATGATCCGAGGAGTCTTCTTCCTCAACAGGTTCGCTGTCCTTTCTCTCCTTCCTGAGTTGCATCTCCCCATCTTTTGTTTGAGCCTCAGTTTTCCCTGTACCTGGCGCTGACTGTTGCTTTTCCGTCTTGCTTTGTTATAGAGCAGCGATGAAGATGGCCAACATGGATTTTGTGTTTGATCGTATGTTTACAAATCCCTTGGACTCTCATGGGGTAAGATTTTTATGATGCTGAGTACACTTAAGCTTCAGTAGCTCAGAAGTCACCATTTGTTCAAAGCGAGAGTAGTCCTGCTGTGCAGTAGAGATGTGTTTTGCTTTGCATTCCCCAGATAGAGACAGTGCTCCTTTGGTCCCAGGAGTGCCCCAGTGTGCCAGGCCCTTAAGATCTGTGATTTCAGCAGGTTGCTTTCCCTTTCTGCCTCTCGAATCACGCTCAGTGTGGGATCATAATCATGAGGCTTTGGCCTTTCTCTAGAAGTGGTGGAACAAAATGATTTTCTGCTCTGCTGCATCTCATTTCTCTCAATGCTGGCCCTCCATAATGATAGAGAAAACAAAAAAAGGAAATTTCATTCTAGAATCCCCTTCCGGAGTTCAAAGCATTTTTTAACTAGTCCTAGAAAGTTAGTTTCCTTTGACAGAGACAGGGCCAGAAACTGGCTACCCCCAGAGCTGTCTCTGGTCTAGGTGCCCTTATTCTACTAGGCCTTCCCCCATTTCCCACCAGCTAGAGGAACTTATTTCCAAGTTCTTTGATGTTTCAGCTCTACCTGCCTAACTACTTGCTGCATGCTGGCAAAACTGGCATGTACACCCCTCCAGCCTTTACTCATTTTTCTTTCCCAGGGCTTCCTCCCCATTTTCCAGGACCAGCAGGCAGTACAAAAGGCTCCTGGAATTAGCATCTTGAGAAAATTAGGTTGATACAATGTTGATTTAATTTTCTGAGCTCCCAATGATTTCCTGCCTGGCAGAGGAGCTCCGTTAAGCTGATGGGAAGTCACAGCATCATTTTGCTGCGTTTGAATGTGAATGTCTCCAGCAGCTGGTATCTGCTTATTGTCTTTTGTTGTCATGAGAATGAAGGAGGCACCAGAATTGTACCATTCAGGTGGAGGGTGGAGATCTTAGTTACATAGGGAGAGGCAGTGTGTTTAGACCACTTCAGGAAGCTTCTTGACTTGAATTGATTGTTAGTGGCCGGGGAGAATTGCCTTTTCAGAGATGTGCCCTTGTACTCCACAATAAAAAGTGGTTTCTTTCCTAGTACTTTCTTCTCTTTCTGCTCTGTTTTCCCCAGGGACCAGACTGATAGCCAAGCCCAGCAGGCTTGGTGTGTTTTCAGTCAAGCAGTCCCTAACAGAGGTGGGAGTGGCTGGAGGCCTAGGCATTGCTGGGGTCTTAGCCTAAACATCAAAGACCTGGAAGCAGTGTGTAGAGGAGGGGAAGAGAATTTCGAGGTTTTTTACTAGGTCTTTGGTGCTACAGGGTATGTCAAAGGAGAAAAGGTACTAGGGGAAAAAAGAAATTGTGAGCAAGAATTGAAAGAAACAAGGGGATGAAGGGAATTGGGGTATGCCTTGGGAAATCTGAAAACATAAACTTATATTATGTGAGGGATTTGTGTGCCTGGGATGGTTATTTAGGTTAGAAAACCTAAGTTTTGGTCCTGTTAGGGGAAATGAGGCAGCACTGACAGTGTCTGCTATGTGTGTACTGCACTTGGCAGAGGAGAGGAAAGAGACAAATATGAAAAGGTAAGAGTGTTCCTTCCAAGAAAGTTGATCTAGTTGAATAGAATACCATCTTATAATTGGGAATGTGTTACAGTTTTAGAAAGACGTTTGCCACAAGATGTCATTTAACCCTACAACAGTCTTGAGAAATCCCTATACTAGTCCTTTTACAGGAGCAATTTGAGCTCAGTAGCTTAAAAGTGTGTGCTTGTCCTTGACTGTACAGCGAGGATGGGCAGCTCTCAGAACCAGCTGTCCCATCTATGAGCAGGCTCTTGGATATGGTTTTCAAAGGCCACTTGCTGTTTTTGTTTTGTTTTGTTTTATGACAGAGTCTTAGCATGCAGCCCAGGCTGGCCTTGAACTCATAGTAATCATCCTGCCTCAGCCTCCCAAGTGCTGGATTACAGTCATGTGCTACTGTATATCAACAGGCCATTGGTTTTGAAATTGCAGAATGAGATCATATTTAAACATCTTATGAGATGTGAGATGGTCTCATTGCCTCATTGGGCTTCCTGCTAGCCTTTGGCTTTGGCGGTTCATTCTGTGAGGCTGGAGCCTGGGGCCAAGGCCTCAGTGCTCAGAAACATTGCTCTCCTTCTTTGCAGTATTCACAGGACTTAAACTTGTGGCCCCTGCCTCGTTCCCACTGTGCTGACTGCAAATTGCTACATGATGTTCTTGGCAAACACCATTAGGTCTTTTTGATGTGTGTGTAAATGAATATAATCCCGAAATGTGAATAATTAATGGATCAAGAACAAAGAATGGGTAGAGCAGTGAGGAAACTGGGAAAGAGCTGATAACGCCCCAGTATGCCTGGGCTGGGCTGCCACAGGCTGATAAAGCTGCTCTCTTCTCTCCAGAGATTTGTTCACTCCCTTGGTGAAACTGGATAGCTGTCATCAGAGGCAAGGCCCTTGACACCTAGGAGTGACTGTCTTATTTTTATCTAGCAATTGCAGGACCCTGGACAAGTTGTCAGCCTTGCCCAGCCTGTAGAAAAGGAATGCTGAGGTCCTCAGGCCCCTTCTACAGGATGATCATGGTCCCAGATCATCTGAAGACCTCCTTCTGCAGTGTGGACACCCATTCTGCAGCTCATTCTCTTATTGCCACCTATGCAGATGATTATCTTCTCTGCAGAGGGCTGGTGGAATTCACCATGTAGGGCCCAGGGGTGGTAAAGCATTCACAGCATATTTGTAAAAAAAAAGTTTAAGCACATGGTGTAGGCCAGTGCTGGGTTCACCAACAGCCTGGGGTGAAAAGATAAAAGCAACTTGAGGTGCCATAAATAAAGTCAATAAAATTCAAATGATGGGGCTGGAGAGATGGCTCAGCAGTTAAGAGCACTGACTACTCTTTCAGAGGACCTGGGTTTGATTCCCAGCACCCATATGGCGGCTGCGAACCATCCTTAACTGCAGTTCCAGAAGCCCTCTTCTGACCTCCATGGCATTGCACGACACGGGTGCACTCACATACATGCAGGCAATACACTCATACACATAAAATAAAAAAAAAATAAATAAAATATTAAAAAATTCAAATGGCCGGGCGTGGTGGCTCATGCCTTTAATCCCAGCACTCAGGAGGCAGAGGCAGGCGGATCTCTGTGAGTTCAAGGCCAGCCTGGTCCATGTAGTGAGTTCCAGGACAGCTGGGGCTACAGGGAGACCCTGTCTCAAAAAAACAAAACAAAACAAAAATTCAAATGATTATTGTTTTGTCAGTTGTAAAGTGGGTGGGTTCTCTGAAGGTCTGCTGGAGGCTGCTGCTGCTACAGACCAGTGTTGTCTCCTCTGTCTGCTTCATCAGTCCCCAGCATGCACTGAGCAAAGGCAGGACAAGGGAGGGCAGAATGGGATTGTCATGTTGTATGCTCTAAGAGTGAAAGGTTGTTAGTGAGATCTGGACTCTAGAATGTATTTATTTATTTTTAATTATTTATCACTTTCCTCAGTAGATGCTCTATTTTTTTTTTTTTCGGTCTTTTTAAGACAAGGTCTCCCTGTATCCCCAGCTGTCCTGGAACTCACTATGTAGACCAGGCTGGCCTTGAACTCAGAGATCTGCTTGCCTCTGCCTCCCGAGTGCTGGGATTAAAGGTGTGTGCTACCACGCCCTGCTTGAATTATTTATTTTTATGTTATGTGTATGAGTGTATGCCTACATGTATGTAACACATGTATGTGTTGGTGCAATGCCTGTTGGTGCAGTGCCTGTGGAGGTCAGAATAGGGCATTGGATCCCCTGGAGCTGGAATTGCAGACAGTTTTTAGCCACCATTGGGTGCTGGGAACCGTGTTAGCCACAGTTGTTATGTGGGTGCTGGGAACTGAACCCGAGTCTTCTATAAGAGCAGTCAGTGCTCTTAACTGCTGAGCCATCACTACAGCCCCCTTTTTTTTTTGTTTTGACATACATACCATGATTATGCAAACAATTAGCAAAACTAGGAACTGTATAAAAGGGCCAGGAGCTCTTCACTTTGTTGGTGACTTTTCTGCAAGTCTAAAATTATTCCAAAATAAAGGTAATTGGAGAAAAAAAGGGAGGAGGGAAGATAGAGTCTATGGTCTAGGAAATCAGGTCCTTGTAGTTGGGCAGGGGGCATGTTAGCACCCCCAGACTTTGGTTGGTCAGAGAGAACAGTTTAGTGGTTAAGCCACCCAGATTCTTCCCTAGCTTTGCTGTAGCTGCTGTGCACAGGTTGCTCTATATCTTAGTGTTTCTGTAATGTTCTTAGCAGGACACAAGAAAGGCGCAATGTGGTGAGGAAATGACCCTGAGAAAGAAAAATGCCACGCAGATGCCCATAGAGGCCCATAGAGGTGTTTTTTTTTTTTTTCAGGAGTCTGAGTTGGTTTGGTGTGGGAAAGGTGCTCAGGATATTTTAAGGTGGGCCAGGAGACTTCAGAGGGCAGTGATCACCAAGGATATGTGTCCTGGGTGTTGTGGCCCTGGTGGGAGCTCTGGATCATGCTAACTAAAAGGCTTATTTTGCCCTTCCTCCCGACTTCTCCTTCCTGTTCCTCACTGAGCCATCTATTTTCCCTGTCTCCTTATCTTCCACTTCCATTACAGAAGCAATTGGTGAAGGACTGGGACACTGACCTTCTGTACTTCGCTGATGTCTGCGCAGGCCCAGGTGGCTTCTCAGAGTATGTGCTGTGGAGGAAGAAGTGGCATGCAAAAGGCTTTGGGATGACTCTGAAGGGCCCTAATGACTTCAAGCTGGAGGACTTCTACTCAGCCTCCAGTGAGCTCTTCGAGCCCTACTATGGTAGGGACACTGAGCAGGGAGGGGACTAGGAAGTATGAGGAGTAGCTCCTGTGTGGGGACTTCAAGGCAAAAGCGGTTACCCATGTTCTTCCTGGCCTCTTAGCCTGGTTTGCCAGTCCCTGTCCTCAGGGTCTGGTTTCCCTGTGGTCTGTCTCCTTTCACCCCAGGCATCTATTCCTCTGGGCAAACTCTCATCAAACCTGTATTAATTTCTTGCAGGAGCACAATTCTTGTGTGGTGAGAGGAGATAATGAAACTGTTGGATCTCTGGCTGAGAACTGGCAGGGTTATTAACAAACACAGACTGGGGCTGGAGAGATGGTTCAGCGGTTTAAGAGCACTGACTGCTCTTGCAGAGGACTCGAGTTAATTCCCAACACCCACATGGCGGCTACGAACCGTCCTTAACTCCAGTTCCAGGGGAATCTGAAGCCCTCTTCTGACCTCCATGGCATTGCACGACATAGGTGCACTCATACATGCAGGCAGTACACTCGTACACATAAAATTAAACAAATAATAAATAAAATAAAAAAAACTTGATTAAAAAAAAAAAAACGCAGACTGTATGCCCTTCTACAGCCCTATGTGCTAGGTGTAGAATGCACTGGGTAGCCAACAACTCAGCAGCCACAGCAGTCCCTCTGCTCCGTCTGGATCACTGGGATTTGGCAGCAAATCCCAATTTCTTTCCTAACAGTCCTTAGTGGAAAGTTGATACTGCTTTTTTGTTGTTTGGTTTTTTTTTTTTTTTTTTTGAAAAAACATCTCTAGACTTAAACTCACTACGTAGCCCAGGTTGGCCCCTAAATTCTTGGGCAGTCCTCCTGCTTCAGCCTCTCAAGTACTGGGATTACAGATAGGAACCACCAAGCCCTGCTGATACTGGTTTTTAAACATAGGTGCTTTAAACACCATGTGGGCCTTGGAAAGAACATCCCTCTGCTTCAGTTGATGACATTTAGCTGGTCAGTTACCTTTGAACCCTGGCTTATGAGAGCAAGGCTTGGCTTTTCCTCCAGGTCCATCACTGTAAGGCAGGGTAGGTCCTGGGTCTCAAGGCTTACTTTGTATTTACTCACTAGTCAAGAGAGGCTCTTGGCCCAGCGTCTAAAAGCCGATGAGCTAATGGGGAATCTTGTGTCCTGCCAGGTGAGGGTGGGGTCGATGGAGATGGAGATATTACCCGCCCAGAAAACATCACTGCCTTTCGGAATTTTGTCCTGGACAACACAGATCGCAAGGGTGTCCACTTTCTGATGGCGGATGGGGTAGGTAATTTTCTCTGTAGAGAAATGCTGTAAGGATGTGCTGTGAATTCAGAGCTTTGAAAATTGTTTCTGCATTGCTGGAGATTGAGCCCATGATGGCCTTGGGCATAGTAAGAAAGTGCTCTGCTGTTCAGCCACACCCTCAGCCCTTGAGAATTGCTTTGGTCCTTTAGCTGCCCCAATAGATGGCAACTACTATTCAGATAATAGGGATACACATTTTAACTCATTTTGTACATTTTTTTCTCTAATTTTTGCAAAGACTATAGTATTGTAGACATATTTGCTTGAGTTCACCTTGTTAACAAAAGGGCCTTGATTGGCTGGAGGGCTGGTGAGGCATGGACTGTGGCTTAAACAACTAGACAGCTGAATGGGAAGCCATTGATAGTCACCTTGGTGGTGTTGGTGGAGGCTGTTTACAGGTGACCTTCCTTGAGCCTCTTACATACTGACAGATAGCAACTTAAAGAATGACAGCAGCTCAGAATCCATGGAGGATTTGGGCTGGCTAAAGTGAAATTCAATCAAGGGGTTTGTCTTATCAGCTGTTTGGGGTGTAGAGAGGAGCCCACCACAGCTTTGGTAGAGGTTCTCACCCAGTGATCTGACACTGCAGGTGATCCCTTCTGGAGTGAGCCACCACTTCCATGGAGGAAGGACAGACAGTATGTCATTTGTTGCAGGATCATATGTCTAGAGTTGAGAAGAGCCTTTGGAGATCTCTGTGTGTGGAAGGTGAAGGAGGGTGGGCAGAGTGAGAGGCCAGATGCCCTGGCTCCCTAAAGCCTTGTGCACAGCTGGGAGCAGCAGATGGATAGGCTTGGGACTGGCTGGGAGGGAGGAGCTGTTCCTGTGGAGCAGATGTGGGGTCTGCCAGTGCTGACAAGGCAGCTGTGGCAGTGGGACAACTGGGTTGTAAACTCAAGAATTATATTCCTGCTTTGGCAGCAGGAGGGAGGGCTGTCTTGGCCTTTTGATTCATTTGTTATTAAAATTTTCAGTATACATGGTATGGCGTTACATAAAAATATTTCATATAAGTAGATATTGTACATTGAACATACTCCTGTTCCCATCCCCTTACATTTGTCTTTCTCTCTTATTTTTGGAATTTTCTTTTTTGAGCCCAGGTCATGTAGCCCAGGTTGACCTCAAACTCAGTATATAGCTGAGGTTCGCCTTGAACTGATCCTCCTGCCTCCAAGTGCTAGGATTAGAGGCATCTGCCACAGTGCTTGGCTTTAGTTTTGATATTTTAATTAGCTCTATAACAGACATGCATTATGAGAACCATCTATAAGTCTGAGCGAGTTTGGTAAATATTTTTGATTCTGAGTCTTTTAGCTCTTACTTTTACAGAACTGAGTCAGTGAGATCTGACCTGACTGGGGGCAGCTTAAGCTCAAGCTCTTTCTCTTTCTTGCTCATTTGCTCTCTTTTATTTTATTTTATTTTTTATCTTTTTTTTTTTTTTTTTTTTTTTTGTCTTTTTGAGACAGGGTCTCTCTGTATCTCCAGCTGTCCTGGAACTCACTATGTAGCCCAGGCTGGCCTTGAACTCACAGAGATCCACCTGCCTCTGCCTCCCAAGTGCTGGGATTAAAGGCGTGCGCCAACACACCTGGCTGCACATAAGTGTTTTATCTGCATGTTTGTAAGTGCACGTGTGCATACAGTGCTTGAGGAGGTCAGAAGAGGGCATTGGATCCTCTGGAACTGGAGTTACAGATATTTGTTAGCTGTTATGTGGGTGCTGGTAACTGAAACTGGGTCCTCTGCAAGAGCAGTCAGTGCTCTTAACTACTGAGCCATCTCTCCAGCCCTTGTTCTCCTTTTTTAATTTATTTTTTATTTTTTTTATTTATTTATTTATTTTTGTCTTTTTGAGACAGGGTCTCCCTGTAGCCCCAGCTATCCTGGAACTCACTACATAGACCAGGCTGGCCTCTAACTCACAAAGATCCACCTGCCTATGCCTCCCAAGTGCTGGAGATTAAAGGCGTGAGCCACCATACCCGGCTGTTTTTTATTATTTTTATTTTATATGTATGAGTGTATTGCTTGCATGTATACAAGTGCACTCATGTATTGCAATCCTGTGAGTTCAGAAGAGGGCATCGGATCCCCTGGAACTGGAGTTATAGACAGTTGTTAGCTGCCATGTGGGTGCTGGGAATCGAACTCAGGTCCTCTGCAAGAGCAGTCAGTGCTCTTAACCACTGAGCATCTCTCCAGCCCCCTTTTTTTCTTTTTTTAATTTTTAAAAATTTTATGTGTTTGAGTGTTTTACCTGCATGTATGTAAGTGTACCCATGCAGGCACTGCCCATGGAGGCCAAAAGAGGGAGTCAGATCCTCTGGAACTGTATGCTCTCTTTTCTGTGTAAGAAACATGTAACAATATTTGTTATCTTAACCCTTTTTTTTTTTTTTTTTTGCTCTTTTGAGACAGGTTCTCCTTGTAGCCTCAGCTGGCCTGGAACTTGCTATGTAGACCAGGCTCACCTCTATCTCAGAGAGATCTGCCTGCCTTTGCCTCACAAGTGCTGGCACTAAAGGCGTGTTTCATTATGCCCGGTCATCTTAACCATTTTGAAGTGTATGATTCAGTAGTGTTAAATCTGTTCATTATATGTGTTTCTATTTCAAGAACTTTTTCCTTTTGCAAAACGGAAATTGTATACATTAAACAACCTTTCTCCCCATCCCCTGACCTTCTTCAATGTGAGCATGGATCTTGCTCTGCTAGAGGGAGATGCTCCAGAAATAGCAGCACACATTCTTTGAGCAAACTCTGGTCAGAGAGTCTGCCAGCTGGAGGGAGGGGGCTCTATAGCCAAGGACAGAGTAGTGGGTACTGTAAGTAAATCCTTTGTAATTCTTTTCTCAGACTAGGGCCTGTTCAGAGTTAGCGCTGTGGTAGAATTCTCTAAGACATTTACTCCTTGAATCTTCTTAGAACTCATTTGGGCATTCTGTTTTCTCTCTCATTGTTGACTAATGATATGCCAATACTTTGCTTCTGTTTTCCTTTACTTGTCCCTAGATTCTATGTGAATTTAAAAGTTTTCTGTGCCATTTTGTAAAAGCAAACTTGGTCTGGTGACGTAGGTGTGATGGAGCAGGAAGGCAGCACAGGTTCAGCAATCAGCTGGCTCCCCTGTCTGTTTGTACCTGACCACATGGCTTTGCCAGAAGAATTGAAATGCTGATCATTCAGAGGTTGCCTGATAACTCCACGAACTCCCTGTGGAGATGAGATAGGATGTTATTCTCAGTCCTTATCATTTCTCTCTCTCCCTTGTGCTCTTGTTTCAGGGTTTCTCTGTAGAGGGGCAGGAGAACCTGCAGGAGATCCTCAGCAAGCAGCTGCTGCTCTGTCAGTTCCTCATGGCACTGTCTGTTGTCAGAACAGGTGACATTTCTCAGCTCTCCCCTTACCCAGGACCCACTAGGGGCCCCATTTGACAAGGGCATGTACAGGGTTGGTTTGTGAAGTTAGGAAGGGAGGGAAAGAGGAAGGAAAGAAGAAAAACCAGAAAGGACCAGAAAGCCCTTGTATCAGGTGGCCAGTGACTAGATGAAGAATACAGGGAAGAAAAGTCTAGAGAGTCCCAAGACCCCTCTAAAGCCGATCGTCCTATAAATTGTGTTGGGCTTTTAATGGACCAGCCTTAGTCATCTTTACTGCCTCCACTACCTCCTGGAGCAGCGACCTGGGTGTTTTCGCTCCTATCCAGGAGGCCACTTCATCTGCAAAACTTTTGACCTCTTCACGCCCTTCAGCGTGGGGCTCATCTATCTACTCTACTGCTGCTTTGAACGTGTGTGTCTCTTCAAGCCCATCACCAGCCGGCCTGCCAACTCTGAGCGGTGAGACCTTCCTCTGTTAGCCAAGCAGTTGGCCAAAAGTCAAAGCAGTAGATCAGTGCATCTCTCTGGTGTGACCTTTCAAACTGGTGAAAAGCTTTGACTTTGGAGATGTGATTATAGCCTGGAGGAGCCAGGACCCTGTGTGCTCCAGGCTGTTCAGACTCTGCTGACTCTGCAGCTTGTGTATCACACTGCTGTCTGAGAGTCAGCTTGGTCCAGGAGAACATGACTAGTAACAGAGAGAGGGACATGGACTATGAACAGGTAAGGGAGCCACCATGCAGAGGCACTGCTGGCATCCCAGGTGGGACATGGTGCCTGCACATGAGGTGAGAGGCAACACAGTTGGTCAGAATTGCCAGGAGGCCTGTTAAAACCACAGATTTCTGGGCCCTGTCTGGAGTCTGGTTCTTTGGGATTATAATTAACAGGATCCTGAAATGGTACTGGTTGGGAGGCCAGTTGGGAATACCCCTACAGAAGTAGAAACACAGCCTCACAGAAAGGAAGGATTTGAGGTGGCATTTTAGGCATAGAATGTGCTGCATGGAATGACAGGGCTTCTTCTGCAGGTATGTGGTGTGCAAAGGCCTGAAGGTGGGCATAGATGACGTGCGGGAGTACCTCTTCTCAGTGAATATTAAACTTAACCAGCTGCGGAACACTGAATCTGACGTCAACCTGGTGGTTCCCTTGTCGGTGATCAAAGGAGACCAAGAATTTAATGACTACATGGTGCGATCTAATGAGAGGTAAGCCTGGTAAGCTGCTGGCACTGCTGTAGTATTGTCAAAGACTAGGGAGTGAAGGACTTGAATGATCAGCTGGCTCTTGTATCATTTTGCCATGTGTGTATGCTCTGCAGGTTCCAGGACACCCTAGAGCTTTGTTTACTTGGAGAACCTCTGTTCTGTTCCCATATCCTGTCCCAAGGGTGTCAAGTGGGTGCCTGGATGCTGTATACCTGTCCACAGGAGCCTGAGACTTGACAGTGAAAAGAGAGCTGCCTTTGGTTTAGAGGCAGGAGTAATAGCCCTTTAATCAGTACATTTGCGAAAGACTGTGGTTATTGCCTTGTGAAGTCCCCTGATTGGAGGAGGGAGATAGGTGGAAAGCAAGAATACTGTGAGCTTTGGAAGAGCCAAAACTTTGGTCAGTTCAGGAGTTACCCTGGTGGGTAATCAAGAGTGCTATTCTTTCCCCTTCTTAATTGTCTCTCATACCCCTTCCTCCGTCCTCTCCTCATTTATGGTACTAGTTTATAAAGTTGTGGTAGTTGGCGTAGTTCTTTCAGTGGAAAGGATTAATAAAAGTTTGTGAGGTAGGTTGGATTATGAGGTAGCAATGGTGCTGTAGAAAGTACTCTTCTAAGCAGGTTTTGGAAAGGCCTTACCTATTTGTCTGATCCCAACTCTCCAAGAGGAGTTTGAAGTGTAGGTGGCTCTAGAGAGAAGGGGAGGAAGGCTTTTTCTTGCTCTTTTATATTTTCCTAGCATTGCGTGGTATTTTTAACTTTGCACAGCATTGTCACATAAGCCTGTTCATACTGAGTAACACCAGTCTGTTGGGTAGAGCAGACACAGAACTCCAGCATGCTGTGGAGGAGATAGGCCCAGGAACTCATCAGGACTTGGACTTTGTAACATGGCCTGTACTACCATCTATCAATGACTGAGGACATGGAGCAAAGCTGGATTTCTCCTGTGCTGCCAACAATCTTGTAACCAGCTGTTTGTCACTTTAGTTTTGTACTACCATCTATCAATGACTGAGGACATGGAGCAAAGCTGGATTTCTCCTCAGTGCTGCCAACAATCTTGTAACCAGCTGTTTGTCACTTTAGTTTTTCTTCCTCTTTGTGTGTGTGTGTGTGTGTGTGTGTGTGTGTGTGTGTAAAAGCCAGAGGCCAACACTGGGGTGTGTTCTATCACTCTCTACCTTATGACTGTTATGATTATTTTTTTTTATTTTGAGACAGGGTCTCTCACTGAACCTGGAGCTCACCAATTTAGCCAGACTGGCCAGCCAGGGAGCTCTGGAGATTTGCCTAGCACAGGAAATACAGATGTGAGATGTCACATCTGGCTTTTATGTTGAGTACTGTGGATCTGAACTTAGGTTCTCGTGCTTGTACAGCAAGCACTTTACCCACTGTGCCACATCTTAGGCCCCCTTTTGTTTCTTTCCTTCCTTCCTTCCTTCCTTCCTTCCTTCCTTCCTTCCTTCCTTCCTTCCTTCCTTCCTTCCTCTTGTATGTGCAATACACATAGAGTCCAGAAGAGAGCATTGAATCCTTTGGAGCTGGAGTCGCACTGTTGGTAGCTGCATGTGGGTGCTGGGAACCAAACCTAGGTCCTCTGCAAGAGCAGCCAGTGCTGATAACCACTGAGCTATATCTCTCTAGTGCCCCCCACCCCATCCTTCTTTATTTTTCTTTTTTTTTGTGTGTCTTTTTGTGACAGGGTCTCCCTGTAGCCTCAGCTGTCCTGGAACTCACTATGTAGACCAGGCTGGCCTGGAACTCACAGTGATCCACCTGCCTTTGTCTCGCAAAGGGCTGGGATTAAAGCGTGCACCACTATGCTCTGCTCCCTTTTCTTTCTTTAAAACAAATTGAGATAGACTTCTGTAAGGGAAATGAAACTCCTAAGTTAGCAGACTTCATTCAGTTTTGACAAATGTATAGTTACAGCTATCTCTTTATACTATCTCTTTGTGAGATTTCTTTGTGCTGTTACCCAGCAGACTAGACCCCAAAAATATGCACTGTTGTCTGTTGTTTTTCCTCAAACTCACAGAGATCTGCCTGTCTCTGCTTCCTGAGTCCTGGGATTAAAGGAATGCACCACCATGCCAGCCCTATTAATTTTATTAATAATATTTTTTGATAAGCAGATGTTTTAACATTTTGATATCTTATTTTTGTTGTTATGGTAAAACATGCACAACGTAATACTTCCAATTTTATTTATATATTTTTAGACAGGGTCTTCCTGTAGCCCCAGCTGTCCTGGAACTCCCTATGTAGACCAGGCTGGCTTTGAGCTCACAGAGATCCACCTACCTCTGCCTCCCAAGTGCTGGGATTAAAGGTGTGTGCCACCATGCCTGGCATGGAACTTTCCATTCTAATCATTTGATTGTTTATATTTCAGTGTCATTAAGTACAAAATTCATAGTGTTGCACAGCCAACACCACTATACATTTCCAGAATGTTTTTTTATCATCTGAAATAGAATGTGTCTGAATTTGTCTGTTTTAGCTATCTCATATAATAGAACCCTATAAATGTTTTACCCTCTTGTTTTTGACTTATTTAACTTAGCATAATGTTTTCAAGGTTTATCATGTTGTAGCATGTGCTAAAATTTCATTCCTTGTTAAAACTGAATATTGGGCCTGGAGAGATGGCTCAATGGTTAAGAGCACTGGCTGCTCTTACAGAGGACCCAGCACCTACATGGTGGCTAATAGCCATGTAGTTCCAGGGGATCTGACACCCTCTTCTGACCTCCACAGGCATTGCACAACATGGGTACACTTACATACATGAAGGCAGTATGCTCATACACATAAAATAAAAATAATAAAATATTTTAAGGCCACCGGCTGTGGTGACGCACGCCTTTAATCCCAGAACTCGGGAGGCAGAGGCAGGTGGATCTCTGTGAGTTCAAGGCCAGCCTGGTCTACATAGTGAGTTCCAGGACAGCTGGGGCTACAGGGAGACGCTGTCTCAAAAAAGACCCCCCCCAAAACAAATTTAAGGCCAGTAGGTGGACGGGTCCCCCAAAGAAAAAGCTCTCAGACTTGGGGTTGTGGGGTACATGTTATATCCACACTGACTCTTCGGTGCACCTCCTCGCGGAAAGCATCTGGTGTGCTCCTATACCCCCAAGTTGAGCCTTTTTCCTCTTTCTAGTGCATTCCATGGTTCACCTTAGGCTTAGGGGACTGAGGGGGTTCTGTGGACACTGATGGAATTGTAGAAGGAAATGGCAAGTCAGTGCTGTCAGGAAGGCTCCAAGAAAACAGACGAACCCAGGTTTGGGGCTCCACATGAGCCTACAGGCACAGTGGGGCTGAGACCTGTGTATATCTAACGTCCAGATCTTTGGAGAGGTGATTATCGTTAAAGTTTAATAAAAACCCTGAATATTCATTGTGTGTCTATGCTGTGTTTGCTCATCTATTGATGGGCATTTGAATTTTTCCCACCTTGTGGACATTTTTATACAGGCATCTGGTTGAGTCTGTCCTTTCAGTTCTTTAGAGAGTCCACATGGGGAACTGCTGGATGCTGTGGATGCTGCACCATTTTACATTCCCATCAGCAGTGCCTGACGAGACTCCACTCTCTCCATGTTCTAAGTGACACTGGTTATTTCCATGTTTTAATAATAGCCATCTAGTTGAGATTTTTTTCATGTGCTTATGGGCCATTTGTATATGTTCTTTGGAGAAATGTCTGTTTGATCCTTTTGTCCATTTTTAAGTGTTTTTTAATTATTGAGTTAAAGGCATTGCTTATTAGCACTGTCTCCCTTTCTGGGAGTATTTTTTTCACTATATTCTTTGTCCTTTTTTTCTTTTTTTGGTATTTTTTGAGACGGGGTCTCCTTGTAGCCCCAGCTGTCCTGGAACTCACTATGTAGACCAGGCTGGTCTTGAAGTCACAGAGATCCGACTGCCTCTGCCTCCTGAGTGCTGGGATTAAAGGTGTATACCACACCTGGCCCATTCTTTACAGCCTTTGTACGGAAGTTTTTAACATTGTTGTGGCCCAGTTTATTCCTTTTTTTTTTTTTTTTTTTTGGTATTTTTGTGACAAGGTCTTCCTATAGTCCCAGCTGGCCTGGAACCTCGCTATGTAGATCAGGCTAGCCTCAAACTCACAGAGATCTGCCTTCCCTCTGCCTCTGAAGTACTGGGATTAAAGGCGTGCGCCACCATGCCCAGCCTTACTCATTTCTTTTGTGACCAAAGTTGAATTTGTCATATCTAGGAGATCATGGCTAAAGCCAGTGTCGTGAGAATTTCCTCTGTTTCCTTCTGACATTCGTATAGGTTTAGCCCATGTGTTGAGGTATTTGATCTATTTTGAATTAATTTTTGGATATGGCATTAAATAAAGTCCAACTTCACTCTTTTGCAGTAGATGCCTGGTTTTTCAGACTGTCCTTTATCCACGGAATGGTCTTGACACACTTGTCAAAAATCTTTTGATATTCCATCAGCACTGCTAATGGATGATGAGAAATGAGGATTTGCTTCTAGGCTTTCTATTTGTTCCATTGATGTGTCTGCCTTTATGTTGGCATCATACTGTTTTGATTTCTGTAGTTTTGTAGTACATTTCAAAGTTAGTATTAGCCCTCTGATTTTTGCTTGTTGGTTTCAAGATTATTTTTGCTACTTGTGACCCCTTAAAATTCCATATGATTCCTCCTCCCTTTTTTTTCAGCGTTGGGGATCAAACTCACAGCTTCTGTGCCCATGCTAGGAAAGTGCTTTATGAATGAGGTATATCTCCAGCCCCTCATCTTTTCTTAAATTTGATTCATTATTTCACTGTGTGGTCCAGGATGATATCATCATACAATGTCTCACTAAGTTGTCCAGGCTCAAGTCATCCTCTTGTATCAGCCTCTTAGATAGCTGGTACTGTAGGCACTAGCACTGTGTGTTCATGTGAATTTTAGGATGAGATACTGTACTTTTATGAAAAGTGCCATCAGGATTTTCTTAGAGGTCACATTGAATCTTTGTTATTTCGGATAGTATTGTTATTTTAACATTAATGTCTTTCAATCCTTGAGCATTGAATGTTTCCATTTTTTATTTATTATTTTAATTATTTTATGTGTATGAGTGTATTGCCTGCATGTATGTAAGTGCACCTGGGTTGTGCAGTGTCTGTGCAGGTTGGAAGAGGGCCCTGGAACTGGATCTCCTGGAACTGGAGTTACAGATGGTCATTAACTGCCATGTGGGTGCTGAGAATCAAACCCGGGTCCTCTGCAAGAGCAGCCAATGAATGTACTTAATTGCTAAGCCATCTCTCCAGCTCCAATCCATTTATTTATGTTTTTAATTTTTTTTTTAGCAATGTTTTGTAGTTTTCAGTGGATAAGTTTATATCCTTGGTTTAATTCATTCTTTTTAAAAATTTTATTTTTTTATTTTATATGTATTAGTGTATTGCTTGCATGTATGTACATGTACTCATGTCCTACAATGGAGGTCAGAAGTGGGCATTGGATCCCCTGGAACTAGAGTTAGGATGGTTGTTAGCCACCGTGTAGGTGCTAGGAATTGAACCTGGGCCCTCTGCAAGCAGCCAGTGCTCTTAGCCACTGAGCCATCTCTCTAGCCCTAGTTTAATTCATTTTTAAGCATTTTATTATTTTTTTAAGTGTGGTACTGAGGATTGAACACAAGGTCTTGTGTTTGCTGGATGAGCATTCTACCAACTGAACTATATCCCTAGCCTTCTTTTGATACTTACTGTGTAATTTCCTTTTAGATTATCATCTAGTTCACTTTCTGGTACTGTGGTAATTATCATGACCAAAATCAACTTGGGGAGGAATGGGCTTATTTTAGCTTACAGGTTACAGTCCATCATTGAGGGAAGCCAAGGCAGGAATTCAAGGCTCAGGAAGTTGAAGCAGAATCCAACAGGAATGCTGCTTACTGTAAGGCTTGCTTACTACTTCACATTCAGCTACCTTTCTTTTACAACCCAGGCCCATCTGCCCAGGGATGGCACTGCCCACAGTGGGCTGGGCCCTCCCATATTACTCACCAATCAAGATGCCCCACAGACATGGCCACAGGGCAATCTGAGGAAAGCAGATTTCCCTCTTCCTGGACGTGTCAAGTTGTCAGCCAAGATTAGCCAGCACAGCTTACTCATTGCTAGTGTACAGAAATGTGACTGATGGGGCTGGAGAGATGGCTCAGCAGTTAAGAACACTGACCTGTTCTTGCAGAAGACCCAGGTTCAAATCCTAGCACCCACATGGCAGCTAACAACTGTCCATAACTCCAGTCCCAAGGGATCTGACAGCCTCTTCTGACTTCCGCAGTCATTGCATGACACAGGTGCACTCACTTACATGCAGGCATAACATTCATACACATAAAAAAAAAATAATAAAATATTAAAATATTAAAAAAAAGAAATGTGACTGATGTGTGTGTTGAAGTATATCCTGAAAATTGCCTTAATTGATTTATTATAACAGATTTTTTTTCGGGGGCGGGGTTGCTGGCGAGATCACTCAGTGGTTGAAGAACACTTGTTGTTCTTCCAGAGAACCTGTGTTTGAATCCCAGCTCCTACATGGTGGCTAACAACCATTTGTAACTGCAGTTCCAGGGGATCTGATGCTCATTTTCTGACCTCTGTGAGCATTGCACAACAGAGGTGCACTTGTATACGTGCAGGCAAAACACTCGTACACATAAAATTAAACAAAACAAACAGTTTTTTTTTGTACGTGTGTGGAATCTTTAATGTTTTCTACTGTAGACTCATGTCCTCTGTGAAGTGAGATAATTTTATTTCCTTTCCAGTTTGGATATCTAGAAATTTCAAAGAGGAAATCTCTTTTACTATTTCTCCCCCTTTGGGTAATGGTTTGTTTTCCCTCTTAAAAAGTATTGTTCTACACAATTTATGTAGCTCTGACTGGTTAGAACTTGCTATGCGCTCAGGCTGGCCTCAAACGTTTGATCCTCCTGCCTTAGCCTGAGTACTGGGATTGCAGGTGTGCACCGTGGTGTTCACGGACATACTTTCCAGTGTTCTTCCTTCCTTCCTGGAGAACCATGTTATTTACCATCATTTCCTTTTAGCCTAAAGTCTTTCCTTTAGCCTATTTTGTAGCACAAGTTTATTGTAGACTAATGCTTTCAGCTTTTTTCTATTTTAAAATGTTTTTCTTTTCCTTTCATCTTTTGTATATTTTAATTTTGAGGGATATTTTCACTGGATATGAAATTCAAGGTTGACAACTCTTTTACCACTTTAAATGTATTACTATTTGTTTTCCACCTCCCTTGTTTCTGAAGTTCACTACTTTTTTTGTTTTGTTTTGTTTTGTTTTGTTTTTTTCCTTTTTTTTTTTTTTAAAAGATTTATTTTATTGCCAGCTACGGGTATGTATGTATGTGTGTCTGTGTGGAGTGTGTGCATGTGAGTGCCAGTGCCTGCAGAGGACAGAGGCATCGGATCCCCCTACCCTGGAATTACAGGTAATTGTGACCTATTTGATGTGGATGCCCTTAACCACTGAGCCGTCTCTCCAACCCCACTAATAGTTTTATCATTATATTTTTGTATATCATATGTCTTTTTCCCTGGTTGCTTTCAGGAGGCCAGAGGTTGACATCAGGTGTCGTCCTTTGTTGCTGTCTACCTTATATATTGAAGCAGGTTTCGTGTGTGTGTGTGTGTGTGTGTGTGTGTGTGTGTGTGTGTGTGTGACTGTTTGAGTGTTTGAGACAGGGTCTCCCTATAGCCGAAGCAGGTTTCGTGTGTGTGTGTGTGTGTGTGTGTGTGTGTGTGTGTGTGAGACTGTTTGAGTGTTTGAGACAGGGTCTCCCTGTAGCCCCAGCTATGTGTGTGTGTGTGTGTATGTGTGTGTGTGTATGTGACTATTTGAGACAGGGTCTTTCCTGTAACCCCAGCTCTGTGTGTGTGTGTGTGTGTGTGTGTGTGTGTGTGTGTCTGAGTGTTTGAGACAGGGTCTCCCTGTAACCCCAGCTGCCCTGAAACTTGCTATGTACACCAGGCTGGCCTCAAACTCAGAGAGATCCACCTGCCTCTGCCTCCCAAGTGCTGGGACTAAAGGCATGTGCCACCATACCTGCTGAGGCAGGATTTCTTACTTGAACCCAGAGCTTGTCAATTTGTCTAGTCTAGCTTACCAGCTTATTCCAAGGATTCCCTGCTTCTACCTTGCAAATGCTGGGATTCTAAGTAAATTGCCAGCACCTGCCTAACATTTATGTAGTCACTGGGGATCTGAACTCCAGTCCTCATGCTTAGAGAGCAAATATTTTGCCCAAGCCACCTCCCTAGCCCCCACTGGTAGTTTTCATTATGTGTCAAACATTGTATATAAAAAGACATTGTATGTAGAAAGGACAGCTGTCAGTGTAACTGGCTTGTCAATGCAGTCTGCTGTTGAACTGGGTCTGGGCTTTGTTGCTTTACACTTTACTTAGAATCAGTTCACCCTGTTTGACTTCTTTAAGGTTAGGATAGGAACCTTTCCTTCTTTCTTTTTTAAATTTAATTTTCTTATGTGTATGAATGTTTTGCCTGCATATAAGTACACCCATGCATGCAATGCCTGTGGAAACCAGAAGAGGGCCTTGGATCCCCCAGAACTGGAGTTACTATTGTTAGCTGCTATGTGGGTGCGGGGAACCAAACCTTGGGTCCTCTGCAAGAGCAGCCAGTGCTCTTAACCATGGAGCCATCTCTCTAGCCCTAGGAACCTTCCTTTTAGCAGGACTTGTGATCTGAGTTCTGGGGTTTGGCTCAGTTCTGCTATGCTTTCAGCCCTTGATGGGCCCTATGGAACTGCACCGCTGGGCTGGATGGTCCCTGCTCAATTTGCCAGTAACTTCCCCAAATATAAATGGCCACTGCTCTAACTGTATTTCTCTGTGCTGATGTCATTTGGTCCCCCCCCCCCCCCCCCCAGAAATCTGTCTGAGATCAAGTAATTTTTTTTCTCCTAGCCACTGTAGTCTGCAGATCAAAGCTCTGGCCAAGATCCATGCCTTTGTCGAAGACACGTGAGTGTTGTCCATTTTTCAGAGTTCACTAATTTCAAAGGGAGGACCTCGCTCTGCTGCTTCCCCCAGCTCTGTGTTTCTTAACAGTCATTTAAAACCACTCGTATCTCATGGTCTGAAAGATGCCAGAGAACTGTACGGTGAGGACCTTGTCCTCCAAAACTTGAGGCTATCTTGTCAGGAAACCCAGGAAGAGGGTTCAGGGAAGCTAGAGTGGCACAGCACACGTGGAACACATAGTGATTGGGACACAGCCAAGAGTGGGGAGAGAGGAGAGGCAGTACTAGGCAGAGAAGCCTTTGGCCCAGGGAAGTAGGGGCCATGGTGATGACACATGGGTTCATTTGGCCTTGTGGGACATCAGCGTAATGACATCCAAAAGGGCAGGGTTAATGTGCCTTTTAGAGAAGAGAAGTGAGTGTACTGCTTGGGTGAGAGGAAGGGTATGTGGAAGGGACCTTGGCATCCAGGCAGTAGTAGGTGTACCTTCCCTGTGCTGAAAATGGAGGTGATTCCACTCTGAATTCTGAGCTGTCTTTGGAGGACAGCTGTCCTGTGAGTGTGGTTAGCACCCTGGGCCAGTGGCAGTCTGTCCTGTGTGTGTACTCACATGTCCATTCCTGCAGGCATAAGCTGTTCAGGGGCCACATTCCTGGGCCCTTAGAGGTTTTAATCCCTTCCTGGTTTTGTTTTCCCAGGACTCTGAGCGAGCCTAGGCAGGCTGAGATCCGGAAAGAATGCCTCCAGCTGTGGGAGGTATGCAGCCCATTGTCGTTCTAGGCAGGGAAGTGGTAGAACAGAATGAGGTTGTCACTACCCCACCCTGCTGCCTGAAAATGCCTACTCTTGGCCTGTTGGGAGTTACCTCTTTGACTGCACTGACAGCCTGGCCTGCAGCTGGGTCAAGTGAACGTGGGTGCTAAACAGGCTGCATTTTGCCAGGTGGCCCAGTGTATCAGCACCACAGAGGAAAGTGTGTGGCTTTAGGTTGTGCTACCATAGGGTCTGGAAGGGAGTAGTGAACTTTGCCCTCCAGTACCCTTGCCAGGTCTGTTTGCCTGCGTGCCATTTCCTCTTCTCCAACCTGAACCTGTCCCCTCACACTCTGACACAGTGTGGTAAAGAGGGTACTTGAAAATCGGAGCCCTTTCCTATGCTGTCTCCTTTCAGATCCCAGATCAGGCTCGAGTTGCTCCTTCTTCTTCAGACCCAAAATCTAAGTTCTTCGAGCTAATCAAGGTAAACCTGATTTCTGTGGCAGCAAGTTGGAGACCTTACTCAGGGGCTCCTGAGGCTTTCAGGTGCTTGGTCTCCAGAAGACTTAGGCAGGTACCACTCATAGAAACGGAGGGGCCGGACTGAGGCCCCCATGAGTGGGAGCCTTTGCTGTAGTGTATAGGGTTTCATAAGAGCACCTCAAGCCCAGCAGGTGTCGTGTCCTGAGATGGGCTTGTGCCCAGCATTCCACCATGCAAAGGGTGTGCTGGTTGTCAGGCTCTGGCAAGTTCAGGGTCATATGGGATTTGCCTGCAGGAGAGATAGGGAATAATTAGGGATGATTTTTAGGCAGATGATTTTTGGGTGAGGGGCCAGTGGAGAACTGCAAGGCAGCCATATGGGGCTGGCCTAAGCCCAGCCTCCCTGTCCAGTTTTTTGGTGACTTGATCTCCAGAGTTCTTTTGCCTGGCTTTTTATCCCATCAACCTCTAGCTTTTCTCAGGGTTTCACTTCAGTCTGACCTCATTGGTAGCATTTTGCTGGTTTTATGAGGGTCAGGGACTGGAGAATGAGGCTCAACGTGGCCTGAATAATGTTTATATTTTTCTGAATGGGGTAGAGAGATCACTTCTCTGCTCTCACATCAACTACTAGAGAATCCTTGCTTTCAGTGTTACTGAATGAGTGGGTTTTATATTCTGGTGACATTTCCTATATTTCTAGTAATCGATCTATACTTGGGGACTCAGAGGTCTTTCCTTTCCTAGTTTCTCCTAATGGGTCCTAAAGGAACATTCCAAGCAGATGGAAATAGATCCCATTTAGTGCTTGGTTAGGTGGAGGAGAGGGCACGGGGGAGCATGCTTCTGAGAGCGAATGCTTCTGTTCCTTGCCTCTGCCAGCCTGCCCCAGCCCCTGTAAATGCATGCATCGTTGTCTCCTCCAGCCCAGCAGTGTTTTCTCTGACCTGCTCTACAGGACATGGACATCAATATCTTCAGCTACAAGCCCACACTGCTGACTGGCAAAACCCTGGAGAAGATCCGTCCTGTGTTCGACTATCGTTGCATGGTGTCTGGCAGCGAGCAGAAGTTCCTTCTGGGCTTGGGGGTAACTCTACAACTTGCTTCACACATGCTTGGGTTGTGGCAGTGCCTTCTGGCTGCAGGAATGTGGATGGCTGCTGGCCATGCTGTGTGTTCATTCTGTTGGCACCAAAGAAGTCTTTCTTTAAACTTTTATTTCCTTTCTTGCTTACCAGATACCATTTGTTCATTTGTTAATTCATTTCTTCATGTATTTTTTTTTTCTCTGCCCTGCCTTTCTGTGGGGAAGGCTGCTGCTTTTCTTATGACACAGAGGCAGCATGATGGGCAGCTACTTCTCTCTGCAACATATCCATCCATCCATCCATTCCATCCACCCATCCATTCCATCCACCCATCCATCCATTCCATGTATCCATCCATTCATTCCATCCACCTATCTATTCATTCCATCCATCCATTCATCCATCTATCCATCCATTCCATCCACCTATCCATCCATTCCATCCATCCATTCCATCCATCCAATCCATCCATCCATCCATCCGTCCATCCACCCATTCATTCCATCCATCCATTCCATCCACCCATCCATTCCATCCATCCATTCCATCCATCCATCCATCCATCCATTCCATCCATCCATTCATCCATTCCATCCATCCATCCATCCATCCATTCCATCCATCCATTCATTCATTCCATCCACCCATCCATTCCATCCTGCCATCCATCCATTCCATCCATTCATCCTGCCATCCATCCATCCATTCAATCCATCCATTTCATCCATCCATCCTTCCATCCATCCTGTCCGTCCATCCATCCCATCCGTCCATCCATCCATCCATCCATATCCCCTTCCTCACCCTCCCTGCAGTTTCCTGCCTTGGAATCATCCCTCTCCTTCCTTTGGGCTCTTGGAAGCTTAGGGCTGGAGTGTCTGGTCTTACTTGGTCTTTCTACTCTGTGGGTCCATGTAATCTGATCTCTTCCTCAGTCACTTCTTTTGTCTGTTCATACTTTATATTTTTCTCCTTTTACTTTCTCTTCTTCCTGTATCCCAAACCCCCACCCCAAACATACAGTAAACTGACTTTTTCCTGAAGGCCACTTACAATCGATCAGGGTCATTTGCAAGGTTCCCTGCCAGCAAGATGGAGCCCATCTATTCTGTGGAGGCCAAGGAGAGCAGTATAACAAATGCCATTTCTCCTAGACTTTTTCTGCTTGTAGCTGCAAGTAAAAGTCCTTTTGAGTTGTGCTACCATAGGGTCTGGAAGGGAGTAGTGAACTTTGCCCTCCAGTACCCTTGCCAGGTCTGTTTGCCTGCGTGCCTGTCAGTCCTCAGTCCTTATGTTTGCCTTTCTCTCTGCCTGTAGAAATCCCAGATCTACACCTGGGATGGCCGCCAGTCAGACCGCTGGGTGAAGCTGGACTTGAAGACAGAGCTCCCCCGGGACACCCTTCTCTGTGTGGAAATCGTGCATGAGCTGAAAGGGGAGGTCAGAGGTGTTTCTATTCACTTGTTGGCTCTTGGACAAAGGTGTTGGGATATCGCTGAGCCTAGTTTGGTTACATAGAGTGATAACTAATGGGGTCCAGGACTGGGGAAAGGTGTGGCAAATTGATTCATTCTTAAGCAGTTGCCCTACACCATGGAAGAGCCAGGTGGCAAGAACAGTTTCTGAAAGTGTCTTTATGCATCCAGAGCCCTGATGATCCTGCTGGGTGGTTTTTAGCAGCTGATTTAGTTCACAACTAGCAATCCCTTGGAAAAGAAGAGACCAGCTATTTCCTAGGAGCTTTATTAGAGTTATGGATGACAGCGCAGTGGGAATGGGTGACATAGCAGGAAGCCAGCCTTGGCTGGAGCAAGCATGGCACCATTTTTATTGAGAAGTTCATGAGGGCTCCTGACTCAAAGCCTGAGATTGCCCCTGCTCCAAAACCCTGATATTACCCCTGCTCCAAAACCCAAAAGCCAAGGATCAGCTGGGAGGGAGGCTAGAGATACATCCCCTTCCCAGCTCAGCTGTGAGCAGATGGAGACCAGCATGCCATGGCGGGCAGAGGGGGCCAAAGGCTGGTGCCCGTGTAGTGGGCAGTGTACTTGTCTTTGTAGGGGAAGGCCCAGCGGAAGATCAGTGCGATCCACATCCTTGATGTCCTGGTGCTCAATGGCAGCGATGTCCAAGACCAGCACTTCAACCAGCGGTGTGGACTGGGTCCCAGGGTAGGGAGGGTGGTGTGAGGTCAGGCAGCTTGAGTCTTTCCCTCACGTGCCATGGGCTGGGCCCACAGGCAGGAGGAGGGACCAGTTTTGGCACTTCAGTTTGATGGAATATAGAGCTTGGTTGCTGTAGATTCTAGCACTTTCCATTTTGCCACAGCTGTTCAGATTGAGGTTCTATTTGTGTAAAAGGTTCAATAAGAGGGTGATTTTTATGGGAAGGAGGGTCTTCTCTGAAGAGCATGACCAGAGTTTGATAGTTCCATTTAATTTTGTGTACCTGGTATGGAATGACAGAGCAGACACATAAAGATACTCGAGGGGCTAGAGAGATGACTCACTGATTAAGAACACTTGCTATTCTTGCAAAGGACTGGGGTTTGGGTCCCAGCGCCCACATGAGATGGCTCACAACTACCTGTAACTCCACCTCTAGGGGATTCAATGCCTCTGGCCTCTGAAGACACCAGCACTCCGTGTATATATCCACACACAGACACATGACACATAATTTAGAATTTTGTTTACGTGGGGAGGGCAGGGCATGTGCATGTGAGCGAAGTGCCTGGGGAAGCCAAAAGAGGGTGTCAGATCTCCTGGAGCTGGAGTTACAAGTTGTAAGCCATGGGTGCTGTGAATTGAACTTGGGGTTCTCTGGAAGAGCAACAAGTGCTCTTAATTAATGAGCCATCTCTCAAGCCCCCATACACATAATTTAAAAGTAATAAATCTTTGAAAAATAGGGCTAGAGAGATGGCTCAGGAGTTAAGAACGCTTGTTGCTCCTCCAGAGGATCTGAGTTCACTTCCCAGCCACCTACGTTGGGTGGCTCACAGCTCCAGGGGATCTGATACCCTCTTCTGGCCTCTGCAGGTACCTGCATGCAATGTGTTACACATACACACACACACACACACACTCTCTGCAGGTACCTGCATGCAGTGTGTTACGCACGCATGCACGCGCTTGAAACTTGGTATGTAGAGTGAAATTTGTTTTTGAAGCTCTAGTGGAGATGGCTGAACACAGCTAAAGGCACATTTTAGGAAAACCAGCCAAGATCTACTAAAATTAGAGGTCAGAATCCAGAGAGCAGTGGAAAGGGTAGGGTGGGCTCCAGGGCACATGAGTGCCTTCATGTGGTAGTTTTGTATAGGTCCAGGTTCTTCCACTGATGATGTGAAAATGCCCTGGGGCACAGGTGCTGGCAGAGGTCACCTGGCTTGCTTCTAAGGGATTCTGTTTGGATTGTAGAATTCAGCTTGCTGAAAAGTTTGTGAAAGCTGTTTCCAAGCCTAGTCGGCCTGACATGAATCCCATCAGGTGAGTATATGGGCCTCCTCCCAGATCCCTGTGTGGGGTTGCTACTTTTTGCTGCCTGGTTCTCAGTGGAAGGACTTGGCAAGGTGGGGGTAGAGATAAACTGTCCTCAATGAGTAGTTTGTTTGGGGACGCATCGTCCTTTCTGCCTGGCATAGTGGGTAGACCTCTGTGGTGAGATTCATTCTGGGGCTAAGGTGACCTCATTTCAGATGTACATGCTTCTGGTTCACACCTTGTGAACCAGGCATTCACACTTGAGTATCATTAGCCTGCCACCCAGCCTCCAGGTAGAAAAGAGTAGTAAGGGAATGGGTTTGCTTGTGAAAGGATGGTTTGAGGGAGCGAGCCTCACAGTGCTTGTGAGAAGGCCACGGCCTGTCACAGTAGGTAGCCTGAAAGTTCAGGCTTACGGGAAGAGGAGGAAAGGAATAGCTACGGAGAGGACAGACGGGGAGCAGGCTTCTCCAAGCCAGAGGCTGTTCCAGAAGGCGCTGCTGAGTCCTGCTCCTCCAGGCTTTATGTCACTGGAGACTGAGGTGCTCATTTATACCTTACAAAAATCATTTGTAGTGTTCATCTTTTTTAAAAAAATATTTTGATTTTATATGTATGAGTGTATTGCCTGCATATGTGTAAGTGCACCAGTGTCATGTAGGGCCTGCAGAGGTTAGAAGGTGTCAGATCCCCTGGAACTGGAGTTAACAGATGGTTCTTAGCCATCATGTGGGTGCTGGGACACAAACCTGGGTCCTCTACAAGAACAGTTAGTGCTCTCAACCTCTGAGCCATGTCTCCAGCCCCTATTCATCTTTTTAAAAATACATATTACTAGCCAGGTGTGGTGACGCACGCCTTTAATCCCAGCACTCTGGAGGCAGAGGCAGGTGGATCTCTGTAAATTCAAGGCCAGCCTAGTCTACATAGTGAGTTCCAGGACAGCTGGGGCTTCAGGGAGACCACATCTCAAAAAGACCAAGAAAATAAAACCAAAAAAAATTACTGAGCCAGGTGTGGTGACGCATGCCTTTAGTCCTAGCACTTCGGAGGCAGAGGCAGGCGGATCTCTGTGAGTTCGAGGCCAGCCTGGTCTATATAGTGAGTTCCAGAACAGCTGGAGCCACAAGGAGACCCTGTCTCACAAAAGACCAATTTTATTTTTCTTTTTTACTAAATTGACTCACTTAAAATTTTTTTGATTTATTTTTATTTTATGTGTGTGTTTTGTCTGTGTGTAAGTGCACTATGTGTTAGTGCCTGCAAAGGCCAGAAGAGGGCATCAAATCCCTTGGTACTGGAGTTTTAGACAGTTGTTAGCTGCCACATGGGTACTGAGAACCAAACCCAGGTCCTCAGCAAGTGGTCTTAACTTCTGAACTTTGTATTGTTCATCTTAATGTAAACTTAAAGTTAAGTCTAGTACTAAGAATGTACATTTTAGGGGCTGGAGAGGTGGCTCAGCAGTTCAGAACACTGGTTATTCTTGCAGAAGACCTGGGTTCTAATCCCAGCACCCACATGGCAGCTAACAACTGTCTGTAACTCCAGTTCCAGGGGATCCAACAGCCTCTTCTGTCCTCCGAAGACATTGCGAGACACGGGTGCACTTACCAACACGCAGGCAATACATGCATACACATAAAATGAAAATAATAAATATTTTTTAAAAAAGGAATGCACATTGTAGATGTGGGAAAGTCTAAAAGTGAGCCCTGCCTGTGCTGCATGATGTCCTGCCTGTGTCTCTGGGCAGCTAACCTAGGAGCAGTTTCCAAGGCAGGTTCAGCACCCCTTAGTGTGGAGGGCTGGGCATCAAACAAGACCTCATACCCCAATTAGGGCCCATATCTTAAAGGCTAACAGGACTGTCAGGGCTCTTTAGACTAATTCATCCATAGGAATATCAAAAGTTATATAGACAGACCTGAACAAGAGCTTGTCCCTTGGATTTCTAGTATGAGACTTGAGGGTAGGGGTGCTAGGAAAGACCTTTTGTCTGCCAGACCTTTCCTCCTTTCTCCTTCCCAAACCCCAGCTGCTAGAACAGGCCCAAGGACTGTGTGGCAGCTCTGCATTGTAGGCTCTGTAGCGACAGCAGTGCCACAGGCTGAGTAGCCTCATTCTTGGTGGGCTGGTGGTTTCGGGGAGGGTCTGAGGCAGAGGACAAGGGCAGGTGCAGCTCTTCCCCCAGCCCCTCCATTCACAAGCATATCCCCAGGAAGGGCTGTCCTTGCCTGCTCTGCTCATAGGGTGAAGGAGGTGTACAGACTGGAGGAAATGGAGAAGATTTTTGTCAGGTGAGTAACTCACCCAGTGTGGTTCATATTGGGTGGTAGGGTGAGGGTAGGGGGATGCACAGCTGAGTCAGTATTCATTCTGTTTGCAGGGGTGGGCTGTAGAGCTAGTCCTGGCATTACCTCATCCCATTGTCCAGCTGTAGCAGAGTTCCAGCTGTGAGCTAGCTCAGCACCTGTCTGGAGGGGAGCAGGGCAAGCTTATGTCAGGCAGAAATATGGGTTCATTGATGCTGTAATAGTTAGGATTGTCCCTGCGAGGGGTAGAGCAGCAAGCTGCCGGAAACACTGTAAATCCCAGCTCACCGTGCTGAGAGTGAGATTGAGCCTGGAGGGGGCAGAGGGTGTAGATGCAGCTTTGCATTCTTTGCAGTGTGGTGTGCCCACAGATGAGTCCACTGTGGGAGAGCTCCAGTGGCCACAGGGATGCCACAAGTGGTGGCCTAACACCCACTGGCACCCTGGGTCTCAAATTTCCCCTTGTTGGCGTTACTCTAAAGCTCCCAAAGAGCAGCAGCCCAGCAGGGTCATCTGCTGCTCCCCTGCCTCCATTGTTTGTCTGGGAGTTCAGAGACTGGGTTCTAAACTCAGCACTGTCCTCCTGGCTTGGAGCAGTTCACTTAAGTATCTGTGCCTCAGTTTCTTCTGCAAAACCAGGGTAGAATACTGTGGTTAGTGTGACTGGATTACCTAGAGACTAATGTTAGCACACTCTGCCCTTTGTCTCATGTGCACGTGCTGTCTGGTTGCCCACCTGCGTGGGGAAACAAGGTTAGAAATGAAGCTCATCAAGGGTTGCGGTGGCACTCCAAAGCTCAGCTACACAGGGCGGGAAGACCGGCACTTTGTGCCCACAGGCCTCTACATCGTCAGGACTGTGAACGGTGGGTGCCAAGTGACTGTTCCCTGCCCTCCCCCTTCCCTAGTACAGGTAATTGGTCCAGCGACAGTAGTCAGTCTGGCACTTCTGAGGTGCCTTGTTGGCCAGACTCATGCCTTTGGGTACTCTGTCCTTTCTGAATGCCTGCCCTTTTCCTCCCACATCAGAGCCATGGACTATGGGATGCAGCAAAAACTTCAAAAGGAAGTTCTTTTACAACAAAAAAACCAAGTACTCCACCTTTGAGCTTCCTGCAGACTCCATTGCCCCATTTGAGTGAGTAGCCCTCCTCCATACCATCCTGCTGGGCACACTGCAGGCCTGAAACTCATCACTGCACACAGAGGCTGCCCCAGAGGGTGGGTTGGGTTCTGTCCCTGTTGAGAACACTGTTCTCCCACAGAGGTGTGGGAGAGAACTCACTGAGAGGAGAATGAGGATGGGACTAATGGGGATGGTTGGGAGACCTTGATTGGAACATGCTGCTGGCTCCCAGCCTTGCCCTTGTCACTCAAGGTCCCAGCTGTCCGTTTTCAGAACCCAGAGTCTGTTTGCCAGAATAGTTTTCCACAGCAGCCCTAAGGGACCCAAAACTATCCACTGACACTCGACACTTGTTTCTGTAGCTTGTTAATATTCCACTATTGAAGCATAGACAGATAAGCCAGGGATATCAGTGTTTTTTTTTCCCTTTTTTTCTTTTTGAGAAAGGCAGGGTCTCCCTATAGCCCCAGCTAGCTTAGAACTCACTATGACCAGGCTGGCCTTGAACTCACAGAGATTTGCCTGCCTCTGGGACTAAAGGTGTGCGCTGCCACACCTGGCTGGGATATCAGTAATCCTAAGAGTCCAACTGGATGCAGCTATTGGGAAAAGTTAGTTCTGGGAGACACATGAGGTGCTGGGCCTACTGGGTACCTTTAGGCTGCCAGAGGGAGGACTCTTAACTGGAGTCATTGACAGAACCCATCTTAAAAGCACTCATCCTCAAAGACATAGTTGCTTGTGGGCTGGTGGGCTCTTGGTCCTGCACCACCTAAATACAGTCTCTAATTGTCCCTCGTCTTTCCAGCACCTGCTACAATGGCCGACTCTTCTGGGAGTGGTCAGATGGCTTTCACATGCGTGACTCCCAGAAGCCCCAGGACCCAGACAAACTGTCCAAGGAGGACGTCCTTTCCTTCATCCAGAGGCACAGTCTTTGAGGACCTCAGGTCTCTGCCCCTGCTGAATGCCAGGGCAGTCCCAAGGCAGGATACTTGGCACCTAGTTCCTTCTGCCTCTTGGAAGGGACTGGGAGTGCTCTACCTGGCCCTGAGGGTGAGAGTGGTCTCCTCTCCATCCCATCTTGTGGGGCCTGTCTGCCTGAGAACTGTCTCCCTGCCAGGACTCAGCCTGAATGAAACTGCTCCAGAGGTTAGTGCTCAGGACACCTGAGGCTAGTGTAGGACATGTCAGAGTAGCAGCCTTTGTGCTCAGCCATTCTCTCTGGGATCTGTAGGCCGTTTTCTGAGTTCTACTTCTTGCCTCTGAGGGCAATCAGGTCCTTGTTTTGCCCAACTTTTTATTGGGCCAGCCAAGTGAGGATGCCCAGGAACAGCTGTTGTAAAATCAGTTTTGTTTCTTGCTCTGTTTTGATGCCATGTTGAAGAAGACTTTGGTGTCTCTTCCCCTGCCCCCCCCCCCCAACTCCATCTTGGAGTTTCTACAGTGTGGACTGGATAGTCACTGCAGGCCAGGAAGGAATATGGGCTTGGGCTCAACGTCTCAGACACCGGAGTCTTTGATACTGGATATGACTGCCTCCTGAGCTGTAGGGCCTTCGTCCCACCTCTTTTGATACAAACATTGGGCAGCTTTTGGAGGGCAGGCAGCCTTGAAGACCTGCCCTTTTCTCTCCCCCCTATCAGCAGTAACAAGGTACCTCCAGGGTTGGTGTAGCATGAGCCCTCTGACAATCATGTGCAGCCTCTGCCTGGGCTTCCACAGAGTTCTGAGCTGGAGGTAATTTTAGCGTCCTTTTCCTCTCCACTAGGAGGTACAATCGTCTTTTGTGTCCCTATGTGGTCACTCCATTTCTTGGTAAAAGGGAGGAGGGACAGCAGCTTTGTCTGGGGGAGGGTACCTGTGGTTGTTTTTAATGGGAAATACCTCTCAGAGATACTCATGTGAGCTCCCTAGGGCCCCATGCCAGTGTCAGACTGGTTTCCATGGAGATAGGGCACTGAGGCGCCTGTGAGGTTGGAATTGACTCCACCATGGGGGTCCTTCAGCCAGCATCCAGCCCCCACCCCCAAGCTGGTGGCAGCAGTGCTAGGACGCTATATTTCCACCCAATTCTGGGTGTATCAGTGTGTCTTGCAGAATCTTGGATCATTAAAGATAAACATATTTTTAATACCGGTGTAGCTCTGTACTGAGGCTGCTGCTGTTTGTCCACAGTGCTTTGTGGTTGGGGTCTGACTTAGATGAAACAGCTTAGGCTAGAGGCAAAGGGAGAGAAGCTCTACTCAGAGGGAAGGGCAGAGTTTGTATAATCAGAGCCTTTCTGAGCTCCTGGGCCCAGGCAGGGCTCTTGGAGCTGCTGCTGGCCAGTAGACAGGGAGCTCAGGGGCAACAGGGAAATTAGGCAGCTCTTGTTAGAAGGAGGGATGTAGGGATGAATGAAGCCACAGTCCCAGGAGGGCAGGGGTACTTTCCTTCTCTTCCATAAATCACTTGGCTTATTCCATGATGGCACTGTGACAATCCAGGATCAGTCTGTGTCTAAAATAATAGGCATCAGGCCAATTAGTGTCACTAGACCAGGGTCAGGAGTGGGAGAAGGAGGATGGTTTAGAAGTCAGGGCTCATTCTGCACTGGAGGCTGTGTTTTTGCCCTGGGGTAGATGTTCAAACCATCACATGATCATCACACACTTTACTGGGCTGTCTTCCACTGGCCCCAGTGGTCTCAACCTTAATATTCTCTAGCCTTCATTTTATTCAGTGGGCTTCTCACCTGTCTCAGCCCTCACCACTGTGCACTGCTTGCTACAGTGCCTACCCTTTCCCAATCATGACTCTGCTGAGTAGAGTTGGAGTGTGTCTAGGGGTGGTGGGTCCCTGTTAGCCACTCTGGCATAGCGTCCCTCTGATCAGCCCCACCCCCATTGCCTCTTGCTGTAAAACCACCTGATTTACTGGCCATTGTCACCATAAGTCAGTCTGTCATCACCATGGCTCTTGCTGCCCACTCACTCTTGGAGGCTGCTCTGGCCCTGCCTGTCTTTTGAAGATGGATTAACTCTACAGTCCCCTGGGACCTCCACTTCAAGTCCAAGCTGCCCTTCATCATGCATGCTACATTTTTTTTTTTCTGTGGTAATCACAGGCCATGACAATGGCCGTAGGGCACACAGAGTTTGGAGGTAGGGCAGTTCCTGCTTGCCTTCCTGGTCACCTCTTTGCCCTCCCTCATGAATTCTGCACAAGAACTGTTGCCCATCTCTTCCTCCTTGAGACAGGCGTACCTCCCCTACCGCCCCTCAGCTAGTCAGCCCCCGACATCTACTCAGCAGATGGAGAGCTTGGGGTTCTTTATTGCCTCTGCTGAGTTACAGGAGGCAGCACCATGTCCTTTCAGAACCCACAGCAGGCTAGCTATGGGGCTGGCCAACTGAAGGGAGAGAGGCCCTGTACCTTGGGCCTCTTGAGCTTGAAGGGCTGCTTGGTCCTGAGAAGAGGTGGAGGGGAGGCCACATGGCTGAGGCTGGCAGATTCACATGGTCCAGTGGGCGTAAACCAGGGCGAGGAGGATGAAGATGGCCACGGAGAGCAGCATGTTCTTCTGATTCTCTTGCCGAAGCAGCTTTAGCTCCTTCTCTGGGAGGAAGAAGATGGAAAGGGACAAAAAGTTTAGGCCCATCTACTGCATTCTCCCCTTCCAGAATGGACACACATGGCTGAAGGTAGAAATGTCTGCTAGCCACTTTCATACCCCCAAACCTAACCCTGTCATCAATCTGCCCAGTCCTCATGATCTTTTAGCTACCGATTTAGGCTCAAGAGCAGTCCTGATATCACATGTGGTGTGTGTGAGGTCACCAGAAAGGCCACACCTGAAAAAGCCAAGCTCAGAGGTGCTGTGAAGTCACCAGGCATGTCCTCTCACCCGTCACAGGATGGGCTCTGTAGTGCTCATCCTTCCAGAGTCTTCAGCCAGCTAGTCATGGCCTCACCGGTCACATAATTTCTGAATCCCTGCTGTCTGCCACCAGGTGCCCAGTGGAAGAGGCACAAGGCATGCTAGGAGACAGACCATCCTGAGCCTGATCTTCAGCTGCCCTATAACCAGTCACCTCCACACACACACAGAGAGAGCGAGCGAGCGAGAGCGAGCAGGCCATCCTGAGCCTGATATTCTTCAGCTGCCCTTATACCCAGTCCATCTACAGAGAGAGAGAGAGAGAGAGAGAGAGAGAGGAGAGAGAGAGAAGGCCATCCTGAGCCTGATATTCTTCAGCCGCCTTTATACCCAGTCCATCTCCACACACACACACACACACGAGGGGGGGGGGTGAGTGGGCAGGACATCCTGAGCCTGATATTGTTCAGCTGCCCTTATACCCAGTCACCTCCATACACACACACACACACACACGAGTGGGCTACTCTGCAAAGGCTAAGCTGAGTGGGGATAAAATTAAGCTGCTAATCTTGAGGGGAAACTGATGCCCTGCCCACCTCTACCTGTGCAAAGGACTGGGAGGAGACCTACCAGCCAGCTCTGGGCAGGCTAGAGAATGCTCTGGGAAGAGGGGAGGGATTGGAACACATCTGAAGAGCCCTCTGCAGACCACAGTCCTAGCTTCAGGGCAGATGTTGCTAGGCTCTACCTGGCTCTGCCTCCAGTGCCCAGAAGATGGCAGCATTGTTTCACCCACAGAAGCCCTTTCAGTTCCCAGGTGTGGGGGCTGTACTCATGATCCCAATGTAGGATGTTCCAGGTAGAGTGGGGTGCAGGATGTAGAGTTCAGGCTGTATGGACCGGGAGCCTTTCTTCTGGCCCAGCCATCCCCCTTCCTCTCAGAGAAGACAGAGCCCATGCTACGATTTCCTCCCTTGGAACAAAGAACAAGCCCTTCTCGCAGGCTGCTGGGCTCCTGGGCACCACAGTCAGGCTGGTAACTGGAGGAACTTGCTTACCGTACTTGGAGGCTTTGCTCTTGAGGCTGGTTTTCTCCTTTTCAAGAGACCTCCTGTGGAGAAGGAGTTTAGAGCTGAGGCCTGTTTTTTTCTGTCCCACCAGAGGCACTTCCCAGCTATTTGAAAAGGGGTCAAGAACCAATGTTTTAGGGAACCGGAGTTGACAGTTAAGGACGCAAACTGTCTTGGCTTAGTTCACTTTGGGGATTAGGCCAGGGAGGGGAGGCAGGGCAAGAGCATTACCTGTCTTCAGGGCTTAGTTCTGCCCTGTAGAGTTGGGAGGTCACAGCCTCTAGTTCCTTTCGACACTGAGACAGCTTCTCCTCTAGCCCATCGATCTGAAATACAGCAGACTTAGGCTGCTATGCCCAGCAGCCTTCCAAACACTGGGGTCTAGTCCCCTACCCTGGCCTCGGGCCCCATGTTTGGGCTGGGCAGAATTCTAGCCCCCCGCCCCCTTCCCTGGGGCAACTTTACTGTCAACTGAGTGCTTCAGTTGTGAGCTTCCAGGCTGAGTTCCCAGAAACAGGAAATGGGTGTTGCCCTGTGTCTGACTCTCTGGACTAGGCACAGGTTGGGGATGTAGTAGCAGAGCCCCAGGTGGGCCCACCAGAACCTGGCACCCAGTAGAACCTGCCCCATGGTAAGTCCAGGAACCAAATGAATGTTGTAGACCGAGCAAAGTTTCAAGCACTATGTGAGAGTGATCAGATGTCATGGGGCCAAAGGGAGGGGTAGTTTTTCATTGGCATGCTTCATCCTGATAGCGTAGTCTGTTGTCACTATAGACATTTTCCTGAGAATCAATAAAAATTGGCAAAAAAACGCAACTTGAAATCACTTCTTTTTCTTTCTGACTTGGCTCTTAGGCAGAAACATTGCCTATCATCAAGGCAGCCATAACCTGATGGCAGAATGGCTCAGCTCTTGAAAGGTGGACTGCCAAACATCTCCTTCCATATGCTTTATCATTTCAGAGACGTGCTCTCAGGGAAGTGCTTCAGTTGTGGGAAGATGGCCTATAAAATGCTGGGCTGGGCTGTCCACACCTGGGTCCCTATATCATGCATCTGTCTTGGTCTCCAGGTATCATAACTGACCACCTTTGGGTCCATGCTGGCTGGAGCCTGGCTTTTGGTGGCTTGGTGTGCTGAGGGCGTGTCCTGCACAGCTGACTGAAAGGCTCTTAGGAACCCTCTGATAGTCCTTTTCTATCCTTGACCTCACCCAGCCTGAGAGAGAGGGAGACTTTGATTTCATAAATGGGAGGGCAGGGCTCCTCACATGAAAAGGCTTTTCCGAGGAGTCACGGGTGCCCTTTATCAGTCTCAGCCAGTTCTCGGTTCCTTTCTTTTTGGAGCTACCCCTGGAAGAATTCTGCTTCCTAGGGAGGCTGCTTGAAGTTGGGGTGTCCCTGGCCACCTGCCTGGGCACTAGGAAAGTTCATTAGAAATGGTTGTGCCTCTGGCTGACAGCAATCTCACCCATTCCAGGGTCAGCCACTTAAGCTAGTCCAAATGATACATCAGTCACCCCTTCCCTGCAGCCCCATCACTGGTACCTCCAGCTCAGTAAGCAGGGCTCTGAGAAGGAGCTTGACTAACCATGTCATTTCTCTGCTAATGGGCACCAGCCCCAGCCAAGAGATAGGACTGGCCCTAGAGAGGCCAAGGCCTTCCCAGAACTATACAGCAACGTGAACACTGGCCTGGAGACAGCAGCCTGATGTAGGTATTTTCAGCTACCATGTGGTCTGCCCTTCACAGAACACTCCCCAACAGCCCAGAGGCTTCACGTCCTCATCCTATGGCACAGAAACCACCATCAGGGTCAGAGTTCAAGCTGGGTCCCAAATCTTACTTCCCATTGTTTTACTTCCTCTTCTGCCCTGCTATAGGGGACCACTCTCCTGGCCTGCAGTTAGTCCTTTCTAGATTGCCTCGCCTATTAGCATCTAAACCTTATCTTCCCAAACTAGTGCGAGTCCCACCCCCCAAGATAGTGTGAACTGGTAGTCCACAGACTGGCCCATTCATTCATGTCTGTGACCTGCCTGGCCTCAAGAATGCCCAAGTCTCCTGGTCCTTGGGTGGCCACCTATCTCCTCTGCCTGGCCTGTGTAGTCTGTTTGTAGCTGGGGTGAGCAGAGGCTCAGCATGGGTGGACTGAGGGGCTGCAGGCAGACAATTCAGGGCTCATACAATTGTATGACTTCTGAAATCCTCCGGCCCATGGAAGCACGGAGAAACAGCTGTGCTTGCACCTGACTGCACCTTGCAGCTTGCCCAAGGCATCAGTCCCAGGTCACAGTTCTTGCTGTTCCTTGGGCCAGGCCCTGGTTTGCAGGCCATTCTGAGGGAGCAGGTTGAGGATTCCCATCCCTGAACACTTCTGGAAGGTCAGGAGCGCCTGCTGAGCAAAATCTTACAATTGAGGCTGTGGCCAAGCCAATTTGCCATGTGCTCTGGACAGGGCCTGAGGGGCTGGCAGTCGGGGAGCCTTTGTCTGAACAAGCCCAATTTATTTGCAGTTCCACTGAATATCCCCACTTTCATTTGCCACTTTTTAATGAGGCTTAAACTGGCAAACACAAATCAAGGTTTTAGGGACTCAGTTCTAACCTCCCTCTATGAATATTTATGCCCTGCTGACAGTTCTGATTCCCTTCTAAATAGTAAGTTCTCTTTACAACCCTGCTGCCAGATGTGGGCTGAGGGAGGGGAGGCTGCCCATAACAGGCTCTTTAGCAAGCCACCGACTCATCCTTAGAACGGGACCTTGTGGGATCTCCAGAGTAGCTGGGCTCAGAGAGCTGGTAACCAGATACCAGCAACCCTTGAAGCAGAGGCTGCTGACAGCAACTGTAATAATGGGACAGACTCCAGGGACCAGGCTGCAGAGAAGGCAGGGAGGGCGGGTCAGGTTGCTGTAGCTGTGACTAGGGTCCACAGGTGGCTGCAGAGTGGAGTTGGTTCAGCAAGATAGGTCTACAGAGGTGAGGGACCAGTGAATAGGCCTTAATGGAAAGTCCCAATCTCATATACACAGGTTATAAATGCTGCAGACTGACTACCTGTGGTCCTCTATTCACCTGCTTCTGGCTCCCAGGCCAAAGGCAACAGTGAACAGGAGCCAGATGTCAGGAAGATTCTAGAAGGTCAGGGTTGGGCAAGCAGTTGAACCCAGAGCCAGAAGCTTAAAAGTATGTGTGTGGGTTTCCACGTTAGGTGCAGCGTAGGACTTGGGCTGTAACTGGTCAGCTGTGGCTTGTGAATGAGTAGCAGGCTCCTTAGGCCTGTGCCTCAGTTGATTTGTGACGTCAAGATAGTCACATCTCAAAAGAGTCTTGAGGGTGATATGTGCTTAGAACAGTGCCCTACACAGGCAGAATTCAAGTACCTGATGCTACTTGACTAGACAAGAATAAGACAAAGCTCAAGCAGTGGGGCCCCAAGGTGGAGGGGAAGCTCTGCGGGTGCCAGTAGGCATCGATGGAAGGGAGCCTCTGGCAGGATCCGGATGTCCATCTACAGAAGGGATCTAAGGGTGGGTGGTGACAGCGGCAGGGCTACTGTGGGCCAACTCACCAGGTGGCACACAACATGGCACACTGGTAAGCTCAGCAGGCTTGCCTGGGAATGGGGCTGTGGTGGGCTCAAGTGGCAGAAGCCAGGGAATGGGGAACCAAAGCCAAACCAGAGCCCCAGGCAGAAGACTCAGCTGAGGCCCAGTGAAGCAGTGGGCCTCTAAAGAAATGCAGATTGACAGCCAGTGAGACTGGGGACAGGCGGAGAAGCCTGGGGCCATGGCGGAAAGAGGTCCAGTCAAAGGGATTGGAACTACCGTAGTGCGAGGGGTCTACTGTGGAAGGTCCCGAGCCACCCAGAACACCTTCCTGGCAGAAAAGTGGTGGCGCCATAGTAACTCGGTGCTGAGGCTGGCCTGAATTAAAGGGGGCAGCACTGCAGGGGCTGATGTGTATCCTCTGATGGTCCATGGCACTAAGAAATGTCCATGTGCTACACTTACACTCAGGAAGGTAACATCACAGAGGAAGAGCCATGGCGGAATCAGGGTTGCAAGGCTTCAGGAGCCACAGGGACCCCAGGACATAGGGTGGGGCTGTGAGCTTGTGAGTTAGCAAACTTCTGGTACCTTGAGGGGCTGGGAGGTACCATGTAAACCCTGTGGAAGCAGTCCAGCCTGGTAGAGACTAGCCAGCTGGCCCAGTGACTGGGCAGTGGCTAAAACCTCCCTGTGGGTCTGCTGGGAGTCAGCAGAACAGGGAAAAACGGCGATAAGCCATGAGCATCCAGGAGTTGGTACTTTGACAGAGAAGCCCTCTGTGCAGGGCCTGCAGTGCAGTGTGGGACTGAGGCCTTTGGCTCCCTACAGCTGAGCAGGACTAAGTCAAAGCCAGATGGGCAGCTTTGAGTGGTAGGACGAGGTTGTCCTTCCCATAGACTATGCGGTTGGGAGGTCCCACAGGAGAACGGTTCATGGGTGGGAGGTCTCACAGGAGAACAGTTGGATGTGGCAGTCAAGGCCTGTTCAGGCTGTGTGGTGGGCCTGAGGGGTGCTGGGGATTGTTGCAACCCAGTTGGCCACAGGAGAGGGTCACCAGGGGCAGGGATTCCTCAGAGCTTCCCTCCCCAGTGCACAGCTCTGAGTTCTGCTGTGTACTCCAAGCCTGGGGCTGGCAGCTGCTGAACCCCAGGCCAGATAAAGACGGCCCCCTTGGACCTGACTCTCAGAGCTTTAGGCAAGTCTCCCTGGGGTCCTATATATGCCATAAAACCACTGTGTTAAGAGACTGTAAAATTCGTCAGAAATCCCCGGGAGGCATCTTTTCAAAGTGTGGAGCCTCCAGGAATCAAAGCCCAGAATAGCTCTTTGGAGGCAGGGAACGTGTGCCACTCACACAGGCGGCTGCCCCTGCACAGGTCAGGTCAGGCCCTGCAGGGTGCCAGCTCTAAGGTTGCTGCAGGGACCAGGACAGCTTTTATTCCTCCAACAAGCAGCAGTCTGCAGGAGTCACAGGCTGACTTGCTCCATTCTCTACTGAAGTGGCTGAATGCGGCTCCCACAGAGCACCTAGACAGCTGGGAGGTGGCTCTCTGCCTACTGTCTCAGCCATTGTGAGGGCTGGGCCTTCTGAGAAAGGGGAGAGGCTCCCTTAGAGCTTGGCTCAAGGTTATACAGTCCACTCTGCTTTCTAGGATAGAAGTGTTCCTGTCTTTCTGGGGCCTTGCTCCCTGGAGTTTCTGGCCAGCAAGTGACAGGGTGTTGGGAAAGGACTTGACTCAGGGCCGGGCACTGGTCATGGGGCATGCCCTGC